CCAAACCCACAGTGGTTCAAAAAGTCTCATTCCTGTTGTGGACCGCCCCATCAGGATGTAGTGGGGGTGGGGCCAGTTCCCCCCCACCCCCCTTCCTTTCCCCATTTATCTTCTGTGGCCAGAGGTTCCAGCCAACAATAGTACTGGTGGTTCCCAGGACAGCCTTCTCCAAACATGGCCTCACCTAGCCTCTGGCCTCCTACAGGCCAGAAGTTCTACTGCAGTCTAATTCAGGGACTGAGTCACTGAAAGACTTGCCTGGAGCATCTACACTTCCTCTTTCTTGCCCCCTCCCACTTTGCTCAGTCTGGATCTGGAAAGAAGGTATCTGCTGAACACAGACATAATGCTCCTTGCCATGGGTCACCGCAGCAAAACAGTCTCACCCACTGATAGATGAGTTTCCCCCATTCTTCTGGCCTTCGCCACATGATCAGGAAGCTAGACTTGTTCTTATCCAACCACTCCAGGTTCCCTGTAAAAGACACTTATGAAAGAAAGCATCATGCTCTAAAATGGGACAAAGAGGCAAAAACCAAGGTGGAACGGAGTAGAAGAGACTCAGCTTTCGGAACGAGAATACAAGGTTTGCTTTACTATTATTACCTAACAAGACATCCTCTCATCTTCTACCTCTCTTCAGGTCTTAGGGCATGATGGAGAGGTTTCAGTTTTGTATACACTGGGGAGGGGTGTGAAAGGAACTGGGGAATTGTACTGTCTACTGTACAGAACACTCTGGAGAAAAAAAGTGTTGCTAAAGGGAAAAGACTTTTGTTAATCTCCTCAGGAAAACCCAACTATGAAGAAAAATAAGGAATTTGGAACAACCCACCTTTCTTCCTCAATTCCTCTAATACAATCTGGATTGATTCCACAGGGAGCTTTCCTGGTTTAATGTTAAGGGAATGGCATTAATGGAATGAATTGGGTGCGATAAAAATTCTCTGCATCAGTCTCATGCTGAGAACCACCTACCCCTGTCCCCTCTCTCCCACACACATATATGTGCAATTAAATTTCTCAATGGGATATAAATTGGCATTTTCTGGATACTTGGGGGGATAGAGAGAAACTAGTTCAATTACAAGGAACAGCTTTTGAAAATGAACAGTACTGCCCATTCCCGCTCATCCTCTGTCCCCCCTCCTTCCTTCAGCCTTTATATCTTAAAATTCATATTTTAAGTATGAATAAGGCAGCAAAACAAATTACCCTTACTTCCTGAGAGGAGAAGAGTAGAAAATGACTAAATGCAGTACCAACGTTTGAGCTCACACATAGAACAAGAGATTCAAACAGTCAAAAGAGTTGAGGTTGAAAAGTTTGGGACTTAGCTTCCGGGCAGAGATTCTAAGAACTGAACTTGGGTGTTCATCGCTGCCTACAAGAGGGTTTGATGCTGCATTTGATTTGGGAGTTAGGGGTAACTGCTATATATTCTTGCTCTTTCCCAGTTTTCGTGTGAGTGCGAAGCTGCCTACTGTGGGCGAAAAGGGTGTCTGAAACCCGGTATGTGGGGCAGTGTGGAAGAGCACTGTGTGGGCTGTGGAAGAGCCTGAGAGAGGATACGCTGTAGCTTCACATTGTTGAAGAGCGGGCTCTCCTGAGCTTCCATCACCGTCATGCTGGACTGTTTATGCAGGCGGCAGAAGGACAAGACCAGCGAGCACCAGGCGGCCAGCTGCTTCTGCCGAGTGTCCACGTTCGGCTGTAACCTGCCGGGTGAAGGAGGTGGGGTGCAGAATTAGAGGGCGTGAGGGGCGAGGTAGCACCAGCCGGGAAGCGCGTAAGGGAAAGAAAGTGAGGGACTGCGGGCGGTGGCGACCGGGTACTTTCTCCCCCTCCCCGCGTGAAGCATCAGGGCAGAGCCCAGGGTCCGAGGGAGGGAAGGGAGCTACAGCGGGGCTTCGCGGGGTCCGAGCCTCACGTAAAGAAGGGCGGAAAGCGATACTGCCACGGCCACTCGAAACTCATCGCCATCGTAGTAGCCCAGGAAACCCGGAACCTCCGGGCAGTGGACTTCCGGTCTCCGCTTCTGCACGTCCGCGCAGAAAGCACAGCAGAAAGGTTCCGGGGTGTCCGCTTCCTCGTTTACCGCTCCCTGGCCTTTATCCTAAACATCTTACCGTTTAGAGCAGGAGGAGTCCTGAGAAGTTTCCGATTCAGCCCTCCTTAGAAGGGCAGTGCCACAGACTCCCCAAAAGCGGCACTGTTTGTTAGTAGAGATGCTAGTAGAACCCAAGACGCCACAGCCCAGCCTAGGCTTGCTTCCACTATGTTGAGCTTCTTTTAATCATACCGTTCTTGCCAGTTGCCATTTTACTTAAATGCTTCCCAATTCCCCAGTCTCCTCAGTTCCTATATCCTTCGATCCCAGCATTTCTCAGTCTCCTGCAAGACCGGGAGGGAGTACATTTGTAGCTTTCATCCCTTGTTTGAGCAGAGTAATTCTCATTTGTAACTGAAGATAATACCTCTTGCTGACTAGATAGATGGTTTAGCATCTGATTTTCAGAGGTCGTGGTCTGAGAGGACCCAGAAAAAGTCAATGTTTTGTATAAGAATGGCCATTTTAAATTTTCCTGTACCTATAAACCTGTGAACACATTATGTGGCTGAACTTAACCATAATTCTGAGACTGACTAACGGATAAAAGGCTTAGTAGCTGTTGTTTTCTTAGCTGACTAGCCGTTGTTCAGAAAAAAAAAAAAAAATGGGGGAATGTGGAACCAAGCTTAGCCGAGGTTTCGCCATTTTGTATATCCTCCACCTTGATATGTTAGTCCTTGTCCAGCCGCATTCCGGAGATAGTTTCAGCAGTCACAACCCTCACTCCACTCGGTGACGAAAAAGCAGACCACCCCAGCCGCCAATGAGGGCAGTCCTGTCCATAAATGGGACAGCATCTCTAACCGTCCAATCAGTTTGAAACTGTAACCGCGCACCAAAATGCCTTTGTAGTAGCCAGTGAGTAATTGCCAGCTTCTTTCAAAATTCGCGCCACTCGTGACCCTATAAGATACCCCTGCTTCTTCTGTTCGGGGCTCTTGACCTCTGCCGTTGCATCGGTGCGTGTCGAGGGCCCGGACTCCAGCCCGTAATAAACTCCCTTTTGCATTTACATCAGCTGTCTTTGGATTCTTGGAGGCTATGCTCGCCGAGTCTGCTGATCTTGGGCACAACAGAGACATCTCTACGTCCATGATTTAGAGCTGCGGTCTTTAACCACAGCCATTTAACTATTATCTCTCACGTCCTCACCTTTCTAGTCTCAAGTCCCAGAAACCATTTTGGTTTTACCTTAACCAGTCTAGACTATTCAGGTCTGTCCCCTTGCCTGTTTATTTACCTGCTGGTCAATACCCAAATCACAATTGTTGCTCCCTGCTCCCCTCCCCACCTCACTCGGGGTGCTGGGGGAAAAATAACCCGAACGTGCTGATTGAGCCCCAGATTCTCTTACTAACTTCACTGTCTGGCTCTCAGTGCAGTCCAGTGATACTTTTTCTTTTGCTGGCTACATGTCACATCCCTCAAGGTAGCTCTTCAAACCTTCCCACACATCAAACTATTCCACCTGCTGAATTGCTGACCCTCCCCCCATACCTTTCCCTTCTATTTTATGAGACTGAGGCCATGCATGTGAACCTCCTAATCGTCCCCTGTCACCACACTAGATTCATCCTTCAAAAATTCCTCTTCACTTTTGTGTCTTCCTTTTGAACTAAAAGGAAGAAGTGTCTCTCTTCCCATACAGGGCCAACCCTTTGGCATATCTTCTTGCTGCTCCTTTCCAAGATCCTCCAGGATTTCTTTGTGTATCATTTTCCCTCTTTCTCTTTTCCCTGTCTCCTCCCCAAGACTACAAACATGTTCAAATCATACTTGAAAATATGTACAATTTCCTTAATTCTGCCACCCTATTTCCTGTTTGATCTCTAACTTCCCCCCATCCAAGTCCATCATTCATTGTGCAGAATTCCTTGTTCATGCAAGTGCACAACAAACATTTGTTGAATGAGTGAATGAACAATTCACTCGATAATGTTCTAAGGGCATCATCTCCTTTGCCTCTGTGGCACTGCTTTATCCTCATTCAGCTGCTGTCTCCTGACCTTTCCCTTTGTCACCTTTCTCCCATGTTCTTTATTTCATTTTTTTAAAGATTTATTTATTTATCTATTTATTTATTTATTTACACATGCACTGGGTACAGTCAGAAGCGCGGGAGGGTGAGAGAATTCACCAGAGTCAGAGCGGGGAGCAGTGGGCGGTAGGAGAGGTCTTTGCCACGTGGGACCCTCACCCGGCGGGGAAGAGGGGGCGCTGCAGAGGCTGCTGGCAGCTTGGCAACCCAGCACTCAACTGCTGTGCTACCGGGGAGGCCCCTTTCCCATGTTCTTTAAATGTGGATATTTCCTGAGAACCTCACCTCAGCCTTCTCCTTTTCAGTACCCCTTTTCTTAGAATTCTCATGTCTCGTGACTTCATATACTATTTCTATGCAGAACACTTCTAATTCTAGACTTCCACCTCCAACCTTTTTCTACCACCATCACCACTCCAATTTCCAACTCTCTGTGAGGCATAACATTTGTTCCATTGTTATCTCCTCTTCTACATCCTTTTCTTTATGCCAGTTCCTCCTCCTAATGGCCCTTTTCTATTATTACTTCCATTGTTGTCCTAGTAACTCAGGTTCAAAGCCTGAGTCAGCTCTAGCCTCTTCTCTCCTTCATGTCCTCTGATCCAACTCCCTTCCCTATTTCTAATCATCTCTGCTACTTTTTTCAAAAATTTATTTTATTTATTTATGCATATAAGAGCTGGGGTGTAGGCCAGAGGTGCGGGGTGTGAGAAGATTCACGAGAGACAGAGTGGGGAGCAGAACAGACAGATCTACTGAAATATACTGCTGAGGGGAGCTTTGGGCAAGACAGGAGAGGTCTGCTGCGCCATGTGGGTCAGCTCCCTGGTCAGAGATAGAACTCGTGCTGCAGAGGCTGCCAATAGCTTCATAGTGCTGAGACCCAACCCCTCACACCACCAGGGAGGCCACATCTCTGCTTTTACATTATTTTTTCACTTCTTCATTTGCCACTCCTTTAGTTATTTCCTCAAACCTGGGATACTGCAATAATTTCCTGAGGTAAATTCCCGATTTACCTCTTTTTGTTTTCTCTCCCTTAGGAGAACATACTCCATCTAAGGCCTAGTCATGTATCAATTCCACGGTCACCCTCCCGATCACACCTCTGCTAGACATGACTTTCCCATCTGTGTGTTCAGATACTGTTTGGCTTATACTTCCTGCCTGACTCTCATCACACACCCTGTTTTTCTTTGTGTATGTGTTAGCTCCCCTACAAGATGAAAACCACTGAGAGCAGAAACCAGGCCCTAGCTAACATGTATTTCCAATACAATATACCGCACACAGGGTCTTATCCTGCTAGGAAAAATATGTCTTAGAGAATCAATGAATATATCCAGGAAGCATGCAGGCCTCTATCCATGGAATAGACATGCTGTCCAGGAAATGAATATGCATGTACTCAGAGAGGTAGACATTTCAACAAGGGGGGGAAAAATCTCTAAAAAGGCTCCAGGGACCACAAAGAACAAACAAGCGTCTTTATGGAGATGTTTCTCGTGACCTGGCAGGGGGGACATGAACAGCCGCACTTCCCAGGGACATATAGGAGCATCAGTTCACAGAAAAGGTGACTCTCACGGAGCCTAGGTATGTCGCCCAAAAGTGGGAAGGTGTCTTATTTTTTTTTTTAAATTTATTTATGCATACAAGAACTGGGGTACAGGCCAGAGGTATGGGGGTTAGAGGATCCACCAGAGACAGAGTGGGTAACAGTACAGGCAGATTGACTGAAATACACTGTTGAGGGGAGCAACAGAGGAGTCAGGAGAGGTCTGCACCATGTGGGTTGCTCCCTGGCCTGCCGGGGATCAAACTCGTGCTGCAGAGGCTGTGGATAGCTTCACAGTGCTGTGCTTAACCCCTTGTGCCACCAGGGAGGCGGGGAAGTTGTCTTAAAAAAAATATCAGTATGGTTCCAGAAGCTGATAGCATCCACTAACTAAAAACTAGTGGTTGTTATGGAGATGACAGGTGTCTGACTCCAGGATCCAATCGTTTCTTGCTTTTGAGCTTCTTCCAGGTCACATCCATCTTCTGGTTGTTGACTTTAGTGGACACCAGGGGGCAGTGTTCCACAAGGCTGTACTCACCCCTCCCCCATCCTCCTCCCACCCCAGGACAAGGTAGAATGAGGGACAAGAGACCTGGAGGGAGAGTCCTGTGGTGAATATTGTAGTGGACGCCCCCACTCCATAATTCCTGAATCTTGAGGTCCATAAGGACGAACACATGTCGGTCAGATAAAGGTTCCTATCCCCAGGTTCTGGGAGTAAACTGAGGCATGCAGAGGAAAACTCAGGGCTCCCAGATGGCCCCGCCCCTTCCTTCTTGCAGTTTTCACAGCAGCGATTCCTCCCTACCGCTTCCCCCACACCTCTCCAGCAGCTGTCCAGACCGGAAGGGAGTCTCTTCCTGCTTTTTTCCTGGAGCTGGGTTTGGATTGGGCAGGAAAGGCACCGGCCAGCGAAGGAAGTGGTGTAGGGGTGTGGCCTTCAGGTGGGGGGAGGGGAATGGGGGGCAGGTAAACCAACAAAACAGTGGGATCACGGAGATTCTTGAGCTCTGCTGCCCAGAGCTGAGCACCTGTGAGTAAGGCAGAGACTCAGGGGAAGGACACAGGCCCCCACTGTCAGGGGGGAGGCCAGTGTACAAAAAAGTTTTATTTTGAAGATTAGAGAACTTGCACGACCACCCCATCCAGTTTTCATTTCCAATGACTCATGGATCTTCGGTGAGGGTGGGAGTGAGAGGAGTTAGGAAGGGAGGGGAGCAGACCAGGGTGGCTGCTGAGAAGCTCCTGCCACCTACCCTTGGGCCTCACTGTCTTTACTCCTCCACACCACAAGGGTCACAAGGAAAGGGATGAGGCAGATGGGGGCTATGATCATGGCCAGGAGCACATTTTCGGGGGATCTGAGAAGGTAGGCTGCACCAGAGAGCAGTTGGCAAAGTGTATCTGGTGAGTTTCAAAGATGATTTGTTCAGCCCAAGGATTGGGGAAACCCAGCATGTATTCCTCTGCCCAGTGCTCCAAGCAAGATCTCAGGTCACTGTAAGGCCTGGGGGAGAGGAAGAGAGTGTGAGGGGGAGCTGAGCCCATAGAGAGGAGTGCCCCACACTCACTCAAGGCCCACCCACAAGGAGCAGGGCCCCCAACCTCAGCATTGTTCCTACCTGCTAATCACAGCCCAGTCGCACCAGTCTTTTTCCACAGAGTCCAATTCATTCTTATAAATTTGCCAGCAAAGCCGGGTAATGACTGTCTCATAGCTCTCTGCCACCGTTTTCCCTGGGGGCACAGATGCTGCACATGGACCACACCCTGCCCCCCTTCCAAGCCCTCTGGTACTCCCATCCCCGGGCAAACACTGTCCCTGGGACTGGGACATGAGGACCATGTCCTTCAAACATGGGAATCACCAGGACAATCTCAGAAAGCAAGACTTTTCTGGTTAAAGTGAGTCCCAGCCAGGAAATTTTTAATGTCTTCTATGTGAGCAGCACTTCCCAGCCTGACAAGTCTCCACATAACCTTTTTCATTCTAACACACTTGTGAGGTGAGCCAGTGTAGAGTGGGCATAGAGGGGTGAGAGGGTGGAGACCACAAGGATCCCCAAGAGGGAACAGAGAGAGTTTAGTGGGGGCACCACTGAAGGCTGGGACCTGCCTGTGGTAAAGGGACCCTCCCAGTAGACCACCCTCCCAAGGCGCTGGCACCGACTTAAGTACCTTTAAACTCCAAGTTGCCTGGGGTGGGATGAAGCTGAGTCAGAGACTCCTGGGGCTTCAGGGCAGCTGTAAGCAGAAAAGGGAGAGGGAAGTGGGGTGACGGGCTTGCAGGCAATGGAGCCTGGAAGAGGGGGTGCATACCTTTAGACTCCAGGTTGCCTGGGGTGGGATGAAGCTGAGCCAGGGACTCCTGGGGCTTCAGGACAGCTGTAAGCAGAAAAGGGAGAGGGAGGTGGGGTGCCGGCGTTGCAGGCAGTGGAGCCTGGAAGGGGGTGGGGGTGGGAGTCGCGAACTGAGACCCTTGGAAGTTCCGGTTACCCTCAAAACAGAAAAAGAATGATCCTGGGCCGGAGGGGCGGGGGTGGCCTCGGCGCCGGGGAGGGAAGAGCCGGCACCAGCTCCTTTCCCTTCACGTCCTGGCCCAAGCCCCCTCGCTCCTCGCCCGCCCCAGACCGCCGGGGATTTCTCCGCGAGGCCCCGGCACCCCAGCTTTCCCCAAGCGAGCGGCTGCTCGCCGCCGGCGGGCCAGGCACGGTCCAAAGGACCGCGCTGTCCGCACCCTCCCTCCGGAGCCCGCCCGGGCCTCGGCCGTCCACCTTCCCCTCCAGGGCCTCCCGCGCCTCCCGCCCGGGCCCGGGGCGCAGCGCTCACCGCCCAGCAGGAGGAGGAGGCGGAGCGCGGCCGGGCGCCCAGCGTGGGTCTCGGGGAGCCGCGGGCCGCCGGCGGCGCACCCCGCCCGGAGCGAGGCCATCGCGCGGCTGGCTGGCGAGGAGGGGCGGCGGGCTGCGCCGGACCCGGGCGGGGGCGCCTATATCCCCGGTCCCGGCCGCAGGAAACCGCGCCGCTTCCTCGCAGGGGCTGGGACGGCCGCGGCCACGTGGGGGGCGGGGGCGACGCCCCGGGCCGGCGGGCTGGACGGGGAGTCGCTGCCCCACCCGCCCTGGCGCCCGCCGCTCCCTCCGCCGTTGGCCCATCCCGAGTTCCAGCGCACCCTGCGGGGCTGGACAGCTCCCCGCGCCACCCCGCAGCGGGATCCATTTCCTGGGCTCGGCCGCGTGGCGCCCGGGACTCGCCCGGGTCTCCGAGCATCCACTCCCGGGGCACCCGCCGCCCCTTCTCTCCGCCGGCGAGGTGGGGGTGGGGGCGAGCTGCTCTCCGAGACCTAGGAAGGGCGAGGGGTGGGGGCTCCACGGGCTTCTCCGCGCCAGCGTTTCCGAAGCGGGGGGTTGGGGCTGTCCTGGGCCGTAGGGGAAGGAGCGCCTGGAGCTGGACTCAGAGTTCCCTTTCCCTGGGAACACCCACTGATGTCAGGCCGCCTGCCAAAACCCGGGAGACAAAGAGGGAGCTGGCCCTCCGGAGCGCGGAGAAGGCCAGGAGGTAGAGAGGAAACCAAATTCCCAATGCCTTCCCTTCCAGGCACCTCCGGGGTCACCAACCTGATTAGGGGGGCAAAATAAGATGAGTGCATGCCCGGGAAGTCAGGATCAACTCGTCAGGACCAGCTGGTGAGAGGGGGAGGTTTAGGAGCTCTAGGATGAGGCTTCACTCATAGGTTGGGTGCGTTGTTATGCTCCTTTTACAGAGAAGCTAAAGCTCAGGGGAAGGGCCAGAAGTGAAGTTCAGAAGCCCTTAGTCCTCATTCTACCTCCCACTGCCCAACTGTGGAACCTGGAAAGACTTAAGTTACCTTCCCAGAATCTCAATTCCCCCCTGTGAAATGGGGATGTACCCTTCTCAGGGACCATAGTGAGGACAGCCGAGGAGCAAAGTCATTGCAGTCAGCACATGCCAGCTTCCCTGACTCCTTTTCTAAGGACTTGCCTAAGGTCACACTGCTGGGGGCAGCAAGGCTGAGCCTGGGGCCCCAGACGCCTGACGTCTGCCACACCACAGCTGTGGTCCTAGGCCAGAGCTTTGTTAGCCTGAAGCAGTCAAGGAGCCCAGGAGCTAGTTTGGCTATGACACTGGACTCCAGACACAGCTGTCAGCAGCACCAAACTTTCCTAAATTACTCCCAGACACTGACCCTTGGATTCAGCTGCTGCTGTTGTCCCAGTTTACTGATTCCTGACCACCACAAATTATCTTTTGTGGTCTCTCTTCAAATCTTCATCTCAGGGTCTTAGGCTTTTGAATCCTGCCCACTGATAACCTGTTGTCTTCCTTCATAGTTAGGGTCAAGAGGTTGCTTTACTATTCACTGCCTCTGCAGCACGAGTTCAATCCCCGGCCAGGGAGCTAACCCACATGGCACAGCAGACCTCTCCTGTCTCGCCTGCTGCTCCCCTCAGCAGTGTTTTTGGCCCATCTGCCTGTTCTGCTCCCCACTCTGTCTCTGGTGAATCCTCTCACTCCCCACCCCCACACCTCTGGCCTGTACCCCAGTTCTTGTATGCATGAATAAATAAATCTTAAAAAAAAAAAAATAAGAGGTTGCTTTAGCAAGACATCCAGGGAGAAGGGAGGTGGCTCAATTGGCATGAACTCAAAGCCCTCCTGGGGAGAGCCATCTGCAGTGTGCAGGAAAGAGCCAGGCAGCCTGGGAGCCACTTCAAGCCAGGGACCAGATCCTTCCCTCCCGCCCCCTACTGCCCTTTCCGAGAAGGAAACATGGCAAAGGGAGATTTCTGGGTAATCAAATGGGAGGAGGAAGCAAGGAGCAGCAAGTAAGCAAAACCAACTGTGTCCCCTGGATTGGGGCCAGAACCACCTGAGCCCACTGTAGCCTAAGCCTGGGATTGAGTTCAAGATTAAGGTTGACAAAAGCAGATGTTGGCTTTAAATAGGGCAATAATGGATGAAAACCACACGAGCATTCGCATTCGTTAGGATTCTGAAGGCCATTCATGTCTTTGGATCAATGTTTTCCTACATGAAATGACCTTAGCGTCAAAAGGGAAAATAGAGGTGACTTGGTAGAAAGTGTTCTTTGAGCCTAGAGCCGGGGTTAAATTTGCATCCTCGTGTGGAGATGTCTAATAGAGAACTGATTCTAGTCGTTCTTGAAGTTCGGGGTCCAAACCCTCCCATTGGAGACCCTGGGAATTTTTTCTCCTCCTGATCTTCCTCTTCCCATTTTTCCTACCTTTTGGATGCTTGCGTTGAGCCTTGGGGCATCCTAGTAACTGGGGCTCTTCCATGGGGGTCCTTCGGGGCAGAACTGGACTGGAAATCTCACCTTTCTCCTCTAAGTTGTCAGAGAAGATAATTCTCTGTTCTGCAGCAGTGGGACAGAGAAGGGCTGCACTCCAGACAGAGGCTGACTCTCAGGGGTCATTCTGTTTTCCATCCCTGGAGGCCTTACCCATTATGATTTGTCACCTCCCTCTCACTTCAGATCAGAATACTGATTCCTTACTGGGTCTTAAAAAGGAAGGGCAGAAGGGTCCTCTCTGGTGGCCTAGGAGTTAAGTCTCAGTACTATCACTGCTATGGCCTAAGTTCCATCCCTGACCAGGAAGCTGACCCACATGGTACAGCAGACCTCTCCTGGCTCTCCCTCTGCTCCCCTCAGCAGTTCTGCTCCCCACTGTCTCTGGTGAATCCTCTTACAGCCCCCCACCTCTGGCTGTTTTCTGAAAAGAACCCAGGCCAGATTCATAAGAACGATGATCAGACAGTGTGACTGAAGAGGACCGTGGCCAAGTGACCACAGCACACGCCCAGCAGTGCTGAGAACACTGCTGGTCCCTGGGCACCTGGGGCTGACTCATGATTGCTGTCAGGCCCCAGTGCAGATGCTAGAACTGCTTTCAGCCTTCTCTTTCCTTAGGACTGTCATGTGAAAACATCCCTAGGAGCCCTTCAACCTTCCCAGCACCTTGTGGGAAGCTGATGTTCTATTACATGGAGATGCCCCGAGAATGTCAGGCAATATGCTTGGTGCTCCATATGCAGATTGTTTTATTTAAAAGTGGGGATAACAATACCAATAGCTTTAAGTTATAACACACTTAGAGGATTCTTGCCCCATAGTCCATTTACTATTGTTGTTATTTCTTTTTTCTTTTTTTTTTTTAAGATTTACTTATTTATGCATACAAGAGCTGGGTACAGGCCAGAGGTGTGGGGGGTGAGAGGATTCACCAGAGACAGAGTGGGGAACAGAACAGGCAGACTGACCGAAGTACACTGCTGAGGGAAGCAGCGGGCCAGTCAGTAGAGGTCTGCTACACCATGTGAGTTGCTCCCTGGCTGGCCAGTGATCAAACTCATGCTGCAGAGACTGCGGATAGCTTCATAGGTTGCACCCCTTGTGCCACCAGGGAGGCCCCTGCTATTGTTGTTATTTCTATTGCCTGAGTAGTTGGAAGTACCCACCTTGGATTTGAGCAAACCTGAGTTTGAATCCATTGCTTATTTAGCTGTATGTGACCTTGTGCAATTACATAACTCATCTGAACTTGCACTCTTTTTTTTTAAAGATTAATTTATTTATGTGTACAAGAGCTGGGGTGTAGGCCAGAGGTGGGAGGGTGAGAGGATTCACCAGAGACAGAGTGGGGAGCAGAACAGGCAGATCTGGGCCCCCCTGGTGGTGCAAGGGGTTAAGCACCGCACTATAAAGCAATCTGCAGCTTCTGCAGCACGAGTTTGATCCCCGGCCGGCCAGAGAGAAACCCACATGGTGAAGCAGACCTCTTCTGTCTCCCCTGCTGCTCCCCTCAGCAGTGTATTTCAGTCCGTCTGCCTGTTCTGCTCCCTGCTGCATCTCCGGCCTGTACGCCAACTCTTGCATATATAAATAAATAAATCTTAAATAAAATGTTTTTAAAAAAAGAACAGGCAGATCTACTGAAATACACTGCAGGTGAGACAGGAGAGGTCTGCTGCGCCATGTGGGTCACGTGACCTTCCTGGCCAATGGGGAATCGAACTAGTGCTGAAGTGGCTGGCAATAGCTTGATAAGGCTGTCTTTAACCCCTGCACCACCAGGGAAGCCCCTGAACTTGCCCTCTTATCTGAAAAATGGGTCTCCCAGCGTGTATCTCACTGAGCAGTCAGATAATGCATGCAGAGCATTTGGCCCAAGGCCTGGCACTAGTAAGCATGCAATAAATAGCAGTTACTGTCATAATGTGTAATACATATAGTTATGACAACCTTATTTCCAAGATATTCTGGGATTCTTCCAGTGTCATAATTTTGTTCTCATTGCTCAATGTTCATTTTATTGAAAAGAAGACAGACTGGAGTGAGATAGAGATAGCCTGGATTTGAATTCCAGCTCCCCTACTTACTAGCCATGTGGCTTTGACCAGTGTTGTCAATCTCCCTGAGCTTCAGTGTCATATTCTGTAAAATGGGAATAACACTATCTACCTCCATGGTATCTTGCAAAGATTACAAGAAATGAGGTAGCTTCACACCCAGGCTGATGTTAGCGATTATGGGAACACTAAGGGCAATTTGTTAAATACATAAATAAATGTGATTGATTTTTATTCCTTCATGTGCATTGTCATGGGCATAATCTCGAAAGGTATGGATTGTCTTTTTCTTCCTACAATAGGGTCTCTGTAGTCAGGGTCCCCTCCTACTCACAGAGGGGTTCAAAGGGCCCAGGTATCAGTAGTGTGGGACTCTGCTGATAAGCCTGGGAAGAGAGAAGGGGAAGTCACAGATCCAAGGGGAACTCCCCTTTCCTGTCTGGCTAGGATTTGTTTGTCTTCCACACAGGCTGCTCCCTGCTGATATGGGAGTCTGTCAAGTGTCCAGCTTTGATTGGCATCTCCAAGACAGAGAACGTGAGGAACCCTTGCATTTCAGAGACTGTTTTCTTCTGGTCTTGCAGAGTAGACTTCTAAACATGTTTTCTCTTTCTGGCACCAGGGGTGAGAGTAGAAAACCATGGAGAGGATCCAGAATCATGCGGTCAGAGTTAGAAGTCTTCAGAGAAAAGGAGGAGGTATAGTGGATGGTTCAAAGCATGGGTTTGGGATCAGAATGACTGGGCCCAAACCCTGACCACACTGCTTGCCAACTGGGTGACCTTGGGCAAATTCCAGAATCTCTTGAAGCCCTAGTTTCCTCAGCTGTAAAACAAGGATGAGAATATTATGAACTTCATATGAAACAAGATGATCTCTTGTAAGGGGCTTAGCACAAGGGCAGACACCTACTGAGTAAACAGTGTTTGCAGACTGTTACCATTTTTCTACTTATGCCGTTTTACAGTTGAGGAAGCTGATGGCCAGAAAGGAAGCACAGCTCATTAGCTGACCCCCCCATCCTCCCATCAAGGCTACTTCCCAGGCAGGGCATGTGCCAAAGTCTTGTCCTGTGGGATCAAGCCTTGAATTAACTGTGCTGAGAGAGCTGGAACGAATCACATCACCCTAACTCTGGGGTTGGAGCTTTCAGAGTATGTGCAATGTAAGGCATGAATCCCACCTAAGTCATTCCTAAAAAAGAAAGTCCCTTCCTGCTGGTATTATTTAGTTTGTAATTAACAAAGGTTAAGGAGGCCCTTTCTAAGAGTTTGGCTCAGAGGCTCAGGACTTAAACTTATAACAGCCATAAACAAGGGTGTATTGTGGGTATGTTCTTACTTGCTGAATTGAATTCATTATTATGATCCCTAAGCAACTAGGGATTCAGGAGCTAAGTACCTGGGGCAGAAAGTTGGGTTTGAGACCAGAGGACAAAGTGTCAGGGAGTGGAACAGCTTCAAAAATTGGGCCATGTTTCCAAGCTCAGTAATGTTCAGACTGACCTCAACTTGCTTTGGAGCTGCCTTTGCCTCTAAGTGTTCTGGGAGGGGTCTGGCACTTCAGCTGGCCCCACCAAGGCCTGGGCAGCAGCCCCAGTTTCTGGTGACCTTCATGCAGACTTTTAGGTTGTGCCTTGCTTTGTTTTGTTGTTTGCTTCTCTACAGTGGGGTGGCCTTTCCCTGCTTCTGGGTGGGATCTAGTGGGGGAGGGAGGATGATTTGCTCCCATCTCCACAGCTGTGTTTATACTTCCTGGTCAGGGACTGTCTGGGGCCCAACCTTTCCTCAGTTCTCTGGGTACTTTCAAAGAAATGCTATTTAATATCCCTGTGGGCCTTACAAGGGATGGGCTGAAGGAGCCAAGGGGTCGCCAATCCAAAGGGAGCAGGGAAGGGTGCAGAGAGCTCTGTATGGATTCTGGGAAGCATCATATCCTTCCCTTTCTAGCAGTGGCTGAAGATCATCAAGGAACAAAAATACATTTAGAACTTGCCTGTTTCAGAAGAACTAGAACACGTGACATGTTATTTCTAATCACTGGGTTGAACAAAATCTTGCTTTGTGATGGGGATGGAGTACACAGGGCAGAGCCCTCTTATCTACAGCTTCACTGGAGCCAGGTCAGAAATGCAGCATAGTAAAGCCAACAAGAGCATGCTAAGATCCAGGCAAGTTAAAAGGATTTAAGAAAAATGGTCAAGGAAATAATCTCTTCTCCAGGGAGCGAGTTGAGCTGGTATTAATCAGTATACTAGTGTTGCTGGACTCTCAGCCAAAACTGGGAGAATGGCTGCCAAGCAAATCAGGCATCAGGTTTCAGAAATTAAACACATAACTTTATTATTTATTATTTTTTTTTACAACAGGGAGCTTTCAGAAAAAGAACCACTCCTATTAGACTATTCAGCACACTTTGTCCAGTTTCTCTTAGCCCCAGAGGCCTCCAATTTAAGAGCAAGATGAGCAACTGGAAGCCAGAAGTGACACAATTATTCCTTTCTCTTATTAACTGCAGGGAGGCAGGGCTGGGGGACTGGGGCAGGGGTGATGGTATAGTTTTTCAAAGGTCCAGTTGCTGACCACTTGCCAACAGATTTTCTATGAATTTATAGGACAAATACCTGAGGGGTTGGGGAAGAAAAAGTTACAGAGAAAGGCTGGCCAAACAGAGTTGGCTGATAGTGTCTCATGGATCATGGTCAGCTAATAAAGAGACCGCAGTTGGGAAAACTCTTTCCCATCACCAAAAGAAGGAACTGATTGGCAAACACATTTTTCCCAAGAGCCTTATGCTTATTGGTGAGGTAGAAATTTATTTTTGTTATTCTCCAGTGAGCAAGGATTACTAGACCCAGGTTTAGTCCTATGCTAAGTGTGGTGCAGATGTGAAAGAGGTGTACAGCTTGGTGATGAGTGTAAAGTGACTTGGAGTATAAGCCCAGGGAGGTCTGGGAGTTCTGGAAGACTTAATGAGGATGTGAAGCTTGAGCTAGTCTTGGCTCTGATTTATGGCTTTGCCATAAACCTCCTCAACCTCCTTCTTTTTTACCTCAAAATATTTCTGTAATCATATTTTCTTTGTTGTCACATTTTTACAGCTCTCCTCTTGTCACTCGACTCTCCTAAAGTAATGTAGTCCACCCCAATGGTGTTAGCTACCATCAATACTCTTGTGATATTAGTTACTATGGATATCTAGACAGCTCCCAAATCTCCAGTCTCAGTCCTGACATTCATATCTTCTGAATATCCCTCTTCTGATCACTCAATCTATTTTTTTTTAAAGATTTATTTATCTATTTATACAAGCACCGGGTACAGTCAGAAGCGCGGGAGGGTGAGAGAATTCACCAGAGCCAGAGCGGGGAGCAGAGCAGGCAGAAGGACCGAGGTACACTGCTGAGGGGAGCAGCGGGCGGCAGGAGAGGTCTGCGCGCCATGCGGGACCCTCCTCCGGTGGCCGGGGAGAAGCCGGGGATCGAACCGGCGGTGCAGAGGCTGCGGGCAGCTTCGCAACCCAGCGCTCAACCGCTGCGCCACCAGGGAGGCCCCTCAATCTATTTTTTTTTAACTCACCATCCACCTCCATCTTTTAAAACCCACTTTCTTTATTTCAGTACTTATCTATGTAGCGTGATGGTTCTCAAACTTGGTTACACAGTGTAAGCACTGGGGACACCCTTAAAAGTCTTCAAGCATAGATTATAATATTATGGCCAAGACCAATAAATCAGACTCACTGGAAGTGAGTCAGATATCATTAGTTGTTAAAGCTCCCCAGATGATTTCAAAGTGAGCCAGGTTGGAGAGTTATTAATATAAAGGGTGGCAGGAAAGGAAAGGAAAATCATTGAAAATTGCCAAGTTTGAAGGACCATTTGCCTTGATTTGGTAGTTAATCTATAGAGGCAAGAGGAAAACATCAAATTCAATGGTTCTTATATAAGGAAAAGGAAACTAAATTTGGAATCAGAGACCTGAGTTTAAGACCTGATAGAACAAGTTTTCACCTGCGTAAGGACAGTCTTCTGACTTCTTTATACCAGAATAGCCTGGTGTATAAAATTCAAATCTTCCCTACTTAATTAATAGAGTTGTTCAGAAGATTATTCCAAAAAATGAAAAACATAGACTTGAAACAAATTTAGGATAATTTTACTATTTTTGTATTTTAATTTTTTCCTCTGTATTTGAAATACTTTCAGATTTATAAAAGACTTGCAAATGGCAGAGTTCTTGTTCATCTTTCAGTCAACGTCCTCAAAAGTTGAGAAAATGTAGTTCCCAAAGCTGGAAATTAAAATACTATTGACTAATCTATAGGCTTATTCAATTTTCCATCTAATATCTTTTTTCCTGGACCAGGATTCAGTGCAAGATCACACATTATTTAGTTGTCATGTCTCCTCAGACTCCTCCTGAGACAGTTCATCTTTTCTTTGTCTTTCACAACCTTGACATTTTTAAAGATACACGCCAGTTATTTTGTGGATTGTCCCTTATTTTGAATTTGTCTGATGCATCCTCAGGACTAAATTTACAGAGTTCCAATTTAGCATTTCAAAATACTCGAGAAGTGATTTTGTGCTCTCTGCATCACATTGAGAGGTACCTAATAAGAATCTCTCTCATCACTAGTGATGTTAACGTGGATCACTTGGTTAAGGTGGTATCTGTCAGGAAAGAAAAAGAAAAATACCGGATGGTCTCACTCATAGCAGGAATCTAGAAAACTTAAATAAGGGACCAGGAAAATGAATAACTCTAAGAAAGTGAAAATCAAAATCAACAAAAAACTATGAACCAGAGATACTTTTTTGGGGGTGGGGGGCGGAAGGGGAGGGATTGGGGTCAAAATGGGGGGGTTGCAATTGTATGGGGAATATAAAAATAAAATTTATTATTTAAAAAAAAAAGTGGTATCTGTCAGATTTTCCCCCTGGAAAGTTACTATTTTTCCCTTTGTAACATAGGTATCTTGTGAGCTTTGATACATGGTTACTAATTTCAGTCTACCTGATTGAGCAAACTTTAGGGAAGCCAGGTATAAATAAACCAAGATTTCTGATACGGGTGTTTGGGGTATTAGTAGTTATGAGGGTTCAGTGTAAAGGGGTTTCCAGGTTGACTCCAAAGGCTGAAGTGACATATGGCTTATCACAAGTCCGTGGAGACGGTGCAACTGCTGGATAAGGTCCACAACAAGACATCAGAGGTTCGAAAGTCATCCCTTCCAGTCTCCTTACAGCACTGCCTTGGCGCCGTCGGGACCGGCAGCAAGCCCTCGGACTCCCGAGCCGGGGACACCGGCGCCTAACCACCGACGGGCAAACGAGGAAGCCCAGGTGGCCCGAGCCGCGGGCGCGGGCGGCAACGCGCAGGCGCCAGCAGGAGCGCGGGGCGTGGCCGCGGCGCGGGGCGTGGCCGCGGCGCGCAGGCGTGCTGGCGGCGAGTCCCTGCGGCTCGGGATGGAGGGTGAGTGAGTAAACAAGCCCGGGCCGGGCGGTGGGGCCGGCCTCGGCACCGCGCCACCCGGGCTTGAGGGAGGGAGAGGCGAGGGGATCAGAGAATTGGGGGGAGGCGGAGGGGTACACTGCCTGTCCTGCCGGGGGCAACGGAACCTCCCGTCCCGCTTCGGAGGACTGGGGAAACGGGGTGACCCGGCGAGAGAGCCCCCGCGAGGACCGCGTTGGGGACCCGGAAGGCGGGGTGTTGGCGGGAGGCGCGGCGGGGGCGGGCCCGGCCGGGGAATCCCGTTGGAGGGCGGGGTGGGCTGTGGGCGGGAGCCCCGCTCCGGCGCGCGGTGGGCGGCGGCACCTGCGGGGGCCTGAGCGGAGCGGACTCGGGGGGACCCGGGGCTGTGCGCGGGAGGGCCTGACCTGGAGGCTCCGTTTGTGATGACTTTGGGGGATTTTGAGAAGGGGGTGACCGTGCCGGGATAAGGGTGAGGCGAGCGAGGCTCCTAAGGCGCAGAATGTTAGGGGGCTCTCACGGGGTCGTGCGGGTCACGGACGGTGTGCGCGCTGGGGTCCTCGCACCCCAGTCCCGGCCCTAAGAGGCTTGTCTCCAGATGTGGTCTCGCGCCAGTCCCTGCGCACCCCAGAATTTCCCCGGGGAGCAAATGATATAAAGGAAAGCGCCTGGAAGCAAGACAAGGTGCATCAGGGAGATGCCTTTTAGGAAATATGGGACAAAGTTGTTTCGGTAAAAAGTGACTGCTGAGAAATTGTTTGCGGGGTGGGGAAGGGAAGGGTGTGGGGGGATGTTAGTGCCGCCCGGGGAGCATGGGGAGTGGGCTTTGGATGGATGAAGTATAGGGTTGTAAAGAGGGTGGCCTGGATGGGGAGTTTAGGACGGCGCCGGGGGTGGCGGTGAGGGTGAGGGAAAAGAGCCGGGGTGTGTGCAAGGACGGCAATAAAAGTGTGGGTCTCTTCCTCTACATTTGCTGCCATGATGTCTTTGGAGAGAAAATCCTGCCCACCCACCTGCCCGGTACTTTTAAGTTTAGGAAAGCAGCATTGAATGAAGTTTCTAACCTGAGAAGGTGTGAAATCTATCAGAGGTGGCTGTGGGAGCTTGTTATTTTAAGCAGCGGAATTCCCGAGGCCGGGATGGCGTGGCATTGATAAAAGAGATCACTTACATAGAAGATAGTGTGTGTTGGGAGATAAGCTTTTTTTTTTTTAACACATTTATGATAGAGGAAAGGACCATTAATAAAAATATAGCGATACTCTGAAGGTTTATGCACAGTGTGTGTCACCGTGTGAATTAACTCTCCCAGATCAGAGTGTTTGTTTTATTCATTGATGTATTCTACGCACCTAAAACAGTGCCAGGCACACAGTAGGAATTCAATACTTATTTGTGCAATAAATAAATAATGGGAAATCTCTGGGGGTGGGGAGAGCTGGATCCCAGTCCTGACACTAACTAGTGGGCACTTATAATAGGTCAATCATGGTAAGGCACAGTTTTAAGACTCCAGGGACACAAATGATCTCTTCATCATGGTGTTATTTCAGTTTTCTTTGAAAGATTAAGGAGGCTGGGATTAAAAAAAATGAAATTTTATTCGTGAGAAGACCTTTGTGAGAAGTAAAGGGTAAGAAAATGTAGTTGAACTCATTCTCTTGTGCTCCTTGCTATTGAATTAGCATGCCTTTAAAAAAAAACTAAAATATTTTGTCTGCTTAATTCTTGAGATCTGAAGTTTGGCTTCCTAAACCTGTGGGTTACAGTTCTCGCCCTTGATCTGTGCCTTATGTGAAACATGTAACAATTCATTTCACTAAGTTTATCTTTTTCCTGTGTTGAACTGTGTTTAAAAAGTTTCTACTTTGTTAACTTAAAGGAAGGAAAAAAAAAGGAAAAGAAAACGTGGAGAAAAGGTATGATACCAGGCAGGTAGGGATGGAGGGGGTCAGGGTTTAAAAAGGAAAACCTGTTCTTAAGAGAGTACCTCCATCCCAGAAAAGCCCCAGCTTAAAAAAGAAATTTGAGAACTGTGTTTTGGGCTCCTTCCTAATATCTTTAGTCTGTTGTCTGTGGGACTTCACCTTGAAGTTGTGAGTCACTTAATGGGTAGTTGGAGTTCAATGTCTCTAACACACTTGCCTTAAGACTTTGAGACAAAAAGAATAAAAAGTCTTGCTTTTGTTGAATGATAGAGAATACTCGCTAAATATTAAACTTTTTTACTAGCATGAGAGAGGACCAGCCAAGGTCCGATTGTAGCCTGTTAGGGAATTGCTATAACTTTCCTGAATCAGCATTGTTCACCCTAAGAGCCAGCATTTCCTTGGCATCTCATGAAAACTAATTCTGCTTTGATTTTTATTACTGTTGTCTCCAGTGCAAATGACCTGATTCTCTAGGTAAAGCAATGTTAGAACACATTCATTTTATTTTAAATAAAATAAGTAATTTAAATAGAATAATTTCATTTTAAGTAACAATTCAGGCTTACAGCTACCCATGAGTAAGGCTCTTTCTGTGTGTATAGCACCTAGAAGCCCAAACTAACAAATGTAAATACCTTGGAGAAATGGGAGGGTATAAATTAAAGATGTACTTTCATAGATCCTAGTTGAAGGATCAATCAGGCTGTGCATGCAGCCACATGTTTGAATGGTATGTTGATGTCATCATTTTATTATCTGTTTACTAGAGCTCTTTGCGGAGGTAGGTTTGTTCCTACCTACCATTCATATTTCAGCTCCATCATGAACTGAAAAAAAATGAGATGGAAAATTTTAAAAATCTTGTGCTGCCAAAGCCTTACATAACCTGTTGGTTAGTAAGATTATTTATTATAAAGGAGAAAATCATAAATACATTAAGGTTGTCCCTAGAGAAGCTATTTCTGCAAAGGAGCACATTTATACAGATAAAAGAACTTAAGAGTTTGGAACTTTTATATTCTAATCTTTCCAAATTTAAGAATATTGTTCCTTAAATGTTTTATCTCCAAACAATTTCAGTAATGTTTTACCATTTCCAACTAGTGACTGACTACATTCTACTCATAGTTCCTTTGAAGCAATTTGAGATAGATTTTCTGTGGAAAGATTTCTATATTCTTATAGCTTGCTTTTCCTGTAGAAATTCAACATGTAAATAAGGTAGTTCTTATTTCCAATTATACATTAAGATTTTTAATTAAAAAATAAACTTTTATAGAGCATTTTTTGATTTACAAAAAATATATAAAAATAGTACAAGGAGTTCCTATAAACCCCTGTGTCCAGTTTCCTCTATTATTAACATATTAGTATACCTGTAACATTTTTTACAGCCAATGAACCAGTATTCATCATTCTGCTGTATTATTCATTCTGAAGTGACTCAAAAGTTTTTTTTCCAAAGGGTGAATTGCCTATGTATTTTTAATAGTAAAAGTCTCTAGAAAATAATGCATTGATTGTATCATCACGAAGACTTTTTTTTCCTTAATCAGTTTTATTGAGGCCAATTTACAACAGTAAATTCACCATTTTATGTATAGTTGAGTGATTTTTCATAAAAGTACATGGTCAGATAACCATCCCCACAGCCAAGATGAAGAACATTTTAATAATTTTGAAAAGTTCCCTTATGCTCCTTCTCATTTACTCCCTTTCTCCCTCCCCAGGCCTGGCAACCGCTGATGTGCTGCTGCCTGTCACTGTAGATTTGCCCTTTCTAGAATCCTTCCAGTAGAATGTCCTATATAAGTGGAATCACACAGGTAGTTTTCTTTCACATTGTGTGTTTTTGAGAGAGATTTTGCATGTATGGAAACTATTCATTTTTATTGTTAAGCAGCATTCCACTGTGTGTGTGTATGTATAGTATGTACATACTCATACACATATACACACACACACACACACACACTCTACAAAGCTTTGTATCCATTCACAAATCCATAGATATTTGTGTGATTTCTACTTTTTGGCTGTTTTCAATAAAGATGCTACATACAAATACTTGCGTACAGATTTTTGTGGGAATGTGTATTTCCATTTCTCTTGGATAAATAATTAGCAATTATATGCCAGACTTCATGGTAAGTATTTATTTTTAAAAACTGACAAACTTTTCCAAACTGGCTATCCCATTTTGCATTCCCACCAGCAATGTATGAGGATCCTAGTTGCTCTTCATCCTCACGAATGTATTATCAATCTTTTGATTTTTACCAACCTAGTATGTAATAGTATGTTGTTGTGGTTTCAATTTGCATTTCTCTAATGACTAATGATATTGGGCATCTTTTTATGTGCTTGTCATTCTGATATCTTTTTTGGTGACATAATCTAGTCAAAATTTTATCCATTTTTTTATTAAGTTGTTTATCTTATTATCAAGTAATTAGAATTACATAAAGTTGTATTTTCAAATTATTGACCAAAACAGCATATGTTTTTGAGTTTATTTTCAATGTATAAGTGGGTACAATGAAATCTTAAGTATTAACTTGGTACTAAGCTGGATATAAATGCTATTTTGTATGTGTAAATATCTAAAGAACAGATGTAGTAGAAATATAAAATATTTTTGTGTACGAAAATATTTTGCCCTTGGGCAAAATATAACATTTGGGCCACTGTGTCTCTGTTGAATCCATTTCTCTAACGCTGTTCTAGTAAATACAGAATTTTTCGTTTGTGTTAAAAGAAAAATCTTTGCAGTGAGAATTATTGGTTAGCATCCAGATGCTGTGAGAACCCATTTAATGGCTGTGTTTCAGGTGTTTATTTAAATCATATCTGTCTGTTCCAAACAGTATGTCTTGTCTTCCTCATACACTCTGGGGACTGACCAGCTGCCAAATAAAATTTTAGAGACATTGCAGACCTATTAAAAAAACAAGCAAAATAAATATTGGTTCATGGTCACATGAGGTTCAAATACCACTTTAATTGTAAAAGAAAGAAGTGTGACTTATTTTACATTGTGGCTTAATGGTTAAAAATTAGTGGCATTTCATGTATATGTGTATAGTCCTCTGGGAAATAAAACACTTGCATAAAATTAGAAATGGTGCCATTAATTGTTGGACTATTGTGATGTGTTTACTGTCATTTTTGACAAGACTATAGGAGATCAAATTTCAGTGATATCCTTTCTCTAATAAAAATATTGATATTTTTCTGTGGCTGTCTCCTTTAAGAAAACACACACACACACACACACACATACACACACACACAGTTGTGTTGTGGATTATGTTCTTTTCCATTATTTGATCTCTAGTTTTAAATGGATGGAGCAACCTTCCCTAAGCATACTGTTTGATGAAGGGAAATTTAACTCTGAAAGGAGTGGGAGAGAGATTATAGTCCAAAATCTTTTTTTTTTTTTAAGATTTATTTATTTATGCATACAAAAGCCCAGGTGCAGGCCAGAGATGCGGTGGGTGAGAAGATTCACCAGAGACAGAATGGGGAGCAGAACAGGCAGATGTACTGAAATACACTGCTAAGGGGAGCAGCGGGCAAGGCAGGAGAGGTCTGCTGCGCCATGTGGGTCACCTCCCTGGCCGGGGATCGAACTCATGCTGCAATGGCTGCGGATAGCTTCATATGTTGTGTCCTAACCCCTTGTACCACCAGGGAGTCCACCAAAATCTTTTTTTTAGGAGGCTATGGTGTCTCATTGAATTACAATCTATAACATTTGGGCCACTGTGTCTCTGTAAGGGTAACCCAAAGTTTCTAAGGCAGACAGTTTTATCCTGAATGTGAATCACAAATTCAGCAGGCTATTACTAAGCCTATTCAGGGCAGAAATTATGTGATCAGCTACTTAATATTGCATGTGAGTGTGGTGTACTTAATTTTAACATTCAAATAAAGTCTTTTCTTTGGCCCTACTCCATAGAGGAATGGGAATTATTTAAAGATGTAGGAGGGAGAGAGAGAGAGAGTATAATCTAGAGGATAGAAATGCAGTCTGCTTAATTTTGTTTTCAATTCAACACCTTAGCACTCTGATTTCAAATTCTTAGATTGTATTGTTGTTTCATTCCCTTTCCTTGGAGAGATAAGGTAGAACAAGGAATTCTGTTTTGAATGGTTTGGATCACTTGACTAAGTTAACAGTGAACACAGTCTATCTACTCCCTTGCTCTTCCTCCCTTCCTTCATTTGTCCTCTAAATTTAACTTAGTTTCATACCTATCCATTGGTTCTTCCAATGAGCTATTCAGATATGTTCCTCTTAAAAGTCCATGAGTGTGAGATATAATCATGATCTGATTGTGGTACATGTGGGTTAAGTTTTTGCTGCTTTCTAGTCTGTGCTGTCCTTATCCAGGGGTTGGGGAGGAAATAGATAATAAAAAATGCTTCTTTAGAAGGAATTGAATATTAAGCTTCAAAAGAAAAAACTTTTTCAGAAATTTAAAAAAACAAGTTCTGAAACTTTGGTTTCTGTTTAAATTTCCACTCTCTACTGCTCCTTATAATATTTTCAGAAATGTAAAATGTTAGGTGAAATGAATAGACCTAGTTCTTTAGGAAACCTGAGTAGTTAACATAGAGTAAGAACAGTCTTAGAGATCTTACTGAATTTTTACATGTATTGAATGTTCTTTCTCTAAAATTGTTCGGACTGATGCCTGGACCTAGAAGTTGTTTCAGAATAGTACTGTGGACTTAGTGATTATGGGACTAAATTTGTACACATGACTGAAGGATAGAATTTAATAAAATTAAGGCCCCTTCCCAAATGGCATCAAGTATTCGGACCTGACTTACTTGCAGAAATAGTGGTGCAGAGGTCTGGAAGTCTTTGTAGATCAGGGAAAGCATCTCACTGAGGGTATATATTCCACTGACTTAGTAAAACCGCTGTCTATTTTTTTTGAGAAGCTGAACGTTTGTTTTGCCTTTGTGTCTTGCTATTCCTCTGAAGAACAGAAGGCACATCTTAAACCCCGACACTTCCCCTGCATTCCATGAGGTAGGTAGAGTTTATTACAATAAGAACTTTCTTTAAAATTTTGAAACTTAATTCAAATACGAAAACAAATAAAAAAGCTATTTGCAGGATTAACATATTTTCTTTGTGTCTTTTTGCTGACTTGGAGATGAGACTATGCTGTTTGTCATATCCAACTTTTATTGTTAGTCATAAGCAAGATAAAGTTAATTTGGCAGGTACAGGTTTGTAGTGTGGGTGGATCTTTCCATGAAGCTCTGTGATTTAACTTGATTCTTGCTGAACATTTCTTCTAATTAAGATAGTGAGTAGGTTTCCAAATTTCCACATAATCCAGGTTCCTAATCTTTGTGAGAGAACTCCTTGATGCTAAGGTAAAAGCAAGGTCCCATAGGACAGAGGCTAAGCTTTTTGGTAATCAGATTGTGCTGATATGAAATCTTTTTTTAATTAACCTTTTGTAGGTTTGAGTTTTTTAAACTTACACTTTTATGAATAATTGCAATGAGAATGAAAGCATAATTGTCCATGTTGATTAGAGTTTTGGAAATGTTTTATTTCCAGGCAATAAAATGCTATTTCTTAACTCTTTCTCTCTTAGATTATAGCAAAATGGACATACCAAATCCCCCAACTTCCAAATGTATCACTTATTGGAAAAGAAAAGTTAAATCTGAATACATGCGACTTCGACAACTTAAACGGCTTCAGGCAAACATGGGTGCAAAGGTAAAAAAATAATAAGTGAAAGCTTACATATTTTAATATGTTGGAGGAGTTGGATTTATTTTTAGCTCTTCTCTTAAAATCCTACTACTGATTTTTAACTTGGCTTTGCTAGGCTCTGTATGTAGCAAATTTTGCGAAGGTTCAAGAAAAAACCCGGATCCTCAATGAAGAATGGAAGAAGCTTCGTGTCCAGCCTGTCCAGCTGATGAAGCCAGTGAGTGGACATCCTTTTCTCAAAAAGGTACTTCCAGGTGTCTGAGCTCGAGCAGCTTTCCTCTCTTTCTTCAGCTTAAGTGTTTTTTTTTTTCTTCTTTCTTTCTGTATTTGTGACTTACTAGAAAATAAATAAGGATAGTGTATATAACTACTATAGTCAACATTTAAAACTGTGATGGCAAATCTATAGCTTAAAGAATAACCTTTTCACCTAATGTTCTTTTCATCATGAGTTTTTAATAGAAAAACAAGACACTTACTGTCCACTTTCCTGGACTCTGAGCTCCAAAGCATTTTTTTTTTTTTCACTCTAAGGTACTTGATATTGGAAAAGGAATGCCCTGGATTATGGATAGAAGTACATTGATCAAATGGCTATCCCTTACTGTGAATTTAAAAAACATTGTCTCTTAGAGAGATAATATTTTTAAAATATAAAAAGCAGATGGTATATCAATTTTCTTTCCCACAGCAGAATGTTGCTATAGTTTCTATGCAATTCTGCTTCCCAGGTACTGTCCACATGACCTATGGAGATAAGTTGGTGTCACCGTCTTCATATGTTAGGTCTCCAGAAAAACCTCTTCATCCTCATCCTCTTCTCCTGGAAATTTCAGAGACCTTTAGCTTTGTGTATAGCCCAAGGAGAACAGCAATTTTAGATTGAAATAAACATCAGTTGAGCATAGGAGGCACTATGGTGAACTGTATGGAGGATACTGAGGTGAATAGGAGACCTGCTTTCTACAGGCTTAGAGCTGGGTGATTCCTTTTAGGAGTGATTTCTACAAAACCCTCAGCTTACTGATTTGTGAGATTAGAGGGCTACTGGGATCATTTGGAAAGGAACCTAGTTTTCTCTTGGATTGTGTGCTTGCCTTTCCTACTCATGTCATTGCTTGTATTTCAGTGTACCATAGAGAGCATTTTCCCAGGATTTGCAAGTCAACATATGTTAATGAGGTCTCTGAACACAGTTGCATTGGTTCCTATCATGTATTCCTGGTCCCCTCTCCAGCAGAACTTTATGGTATGTATTCAAGTCCTGTGGTGATTGGATAAACTGTATGATTTTCTGATACTGATATGCTGACTCTCCTCTTAGGGTGTATATGGTCATAGTATATGCAATAAAGTATGGACATGCAGGGTAGAGTGTTTTTGTAATTTATTCTCTCTCAACATACATATTGCTCTGTTATGGATATATGTCTGTTAAGTTGTTCTAACTTGTTAAATTGCATCCCCTCAGTTTACTTCTGAACTGATGTTGGTTTGTTTTTGAATGAATAAGACTGGGAAAAATTCAGTTTTTCCTTAATACGTTGGCCCAATTTTGTGTCATTATGTACAGTTAAATGCTCTTCTAATAAGATACTTGAGGTTTAAGCAGGTTGACAACTCCCTACTGATGAGGAATCCTTTCTGAATCCCTAAAAACATGATGCTGTGAAAGCAACTGAGATAACAAAGACCCATGTGAATCCACAGTCCTTCCATCTGGGCCTTTAAGCTGACTGGGATTATTATTATAGTTCTGATAATCTGTCCTCCAGATTATCATCTGTCTGGTGATAAAAGCTCGGCTGGCTGGATTAGGATATAGATCTTCAAAAAGGAGTTATTTCTAAAAGGAAACTTCAGAGTAATTTTACTTGATACTTGGGATTTAAGAATTCTCTACTGAACACAAACAAAAAGCAAACCAAAACCCATCAAGCTGATTGTGTATTGTTTATTGCCAGAAGATAGATATTCATGGCCTCTGCTGTAACTGACTTTAGGTTCCCATTGAGTGTCATTAACATGAGTTACAGTTTTTTGTTATGATTACAGGAGGTTAGTCTATATAATAGAATATCCAAAAATTTTATGATTGCTCAGTTTCTGTTCCAGATATTCCAGTTATATTGCAATTAGAATCCTTTCTTTTCACTTACCTATCTCTCTACTTATGAAAAGAATTAGAATTGGAGCCTTAGACTATTGTTTAGGTAATATTTATACCTATTTCACAATTTTATTTGGTGAATAAAATGAGCTAATAGATGGAGTCACTGTGAAAGATAAATGTACTGTCAAATTCTGGTGTTGGTGGATATCATTGTTAGTATAAAACTAAACATTTGATAGTTAATAGTCTCAAGTAGTTAGACTGAATTTTCCCCCCTAAGATTAGTTTTAGTCCCTTCCATTTGAGGTTTTGTTAGCAAAACAAAATGACCAGTTCTTTAAAATGCAGGAAATTCTGTGACCAAAGGCATTTTCAAGAGATTCAAACAGCAAAAGAGGCTTAGCAAAGATTCCACTAAACTGAAAAGCAGAGAGATGTTCATGGCTTCATGGAGTAAAAAACATCTGTTTTGTTTTCAGGTAGAAGATGAGACAGTTTTGTGCAATATTCCCTACATGGGGGATGAGGTGAAAGAAGAAGATGAGACTTTCATTGAAGAGCTGATCAATAACTATGATGGGAAAGTCCATGGCGAAGAAGGTAGTGGTGCTGAGCTCTTTGGGATAAAATTGATAGTGTGGTGCCCTTCTTTGGTACATCATCTTGCTTTTACCTGCTGCTTCATGGGGTATACATTGAAGAATATTTCAATGTCATCACATGGCTGGGAGTAAAAAAAAAGGTTGTTTCCCAATAAAAATTTAGTGGAATTTCTGGAATGATGGTTACTACCTCCCAAATTTGAGGAAGGAACCAAGACTGTAGGAAGAAGGCGCTGAGAAATCACACTGTCCCAATAACCCTGGCCACACAGGGAATAGGAAAGTCATTCCCCCAAAGATGAGTCAATCGTCATTCATCAAAGAAGGGTTGGGAGGACAGGTGCAGTGGAGACCATCACATGATACTGGGGCTATGTGGGACCCCATACTGGCTCTTTAAAAACTCTCTCTGAGGAAAGAGTTCTTGGTCACCAGGCTCATTCTTAACCTCTGATAACACCATCACTTTCCTGGGTGAAGCTTCCATCCTATAGGTTCAGCACAAGGTTGTCAGCAGTGAGAAAAACATGATTCTGTGATTTGGCAACTTTCTTGAGAGATGTTCTGGGCTGCCCAAATCTTGCACGGTTTGATATAGTGATGGTTCTTGTCCAGTGCTTCTCTGAGCACTTGGCAGTCCCAGCCTCACCCTTGGCCTGCACCATTTGCTGCTGCTGTCCCTGCTGTGCTTTTTTCACAGAGAACTAGTGCCTGTTGGATCTACTTCTGAGCCACTTGTTTGGCTTCTACAGTGGCTGTGTGCTCTCAGCTAAATCGCAACTCTGTGATGGCTACATCATGCAGAATAAAGCTGAAGTCCTTGTCCCTAGATCCACAGGGGTCCACTGGGTATTCAGTTTTGAGGCCTTGAACCTGACTGCCACATGTTTTATTTATTTATTTTTTTAAGATTTATTTATTTATTTATACAAGCACTGGGTACAGTCAGAAGCGCAGGAGGGTGAGAGAATTCACCGGAGCTAGAGTGGGGAGCAGAACAGGCAGAAGGACCGAAGTACACTGCTGAGGGGAGCAGCGGGCGGCAGGAGAGGTCTGCGCGCCATGTGGGACCCTCGCCTGGTGGCCGGGGATCGAACCCGTGCTACAGAGGCTGCAGGCAGCTTCGCAGCCCAGCACTCAACCGCTGAGCCACCAGGGGAGGCCCTGCCACATGTTTTAGCACCTTGTTGATAATGGATGACAACACTCACCCTTTGTAGTCTAGCCCTAGACACTGGGACATGCTGAGAATGTCCATGGCATCAGGTCGAGACAGTGCTTGCAGGAGATAGTCACCATTTGCAAATCTTTGGAGATGGGAAGGGAAAAAACTTGTTGGGGTCTGGCCCAAATGTCATAGGTGATGAGGTCCTGGAACCAGGTAATTCTGAAGTGAAATCCTTCAGCAAAGCTGGTGTCTTAAGGCACTCCACTGATCTGATTCAAGAAAGTGGATCTGTGATTTCCTGCAGATGCCATGGGCACCAGCATCAGCAGTAGCTTCAGCGCTGTGCCCATGACCTGGGGGCCAGAAGGCAGCCGTCCTGCTAAGTCTTTCAAGTTCTGGGCCAGTGTCTGATCCTGAGGCCCACTGCACCAGAAGTCAGAAGGGAATGCCAGCCTACCTCTGTCCCACTCCAGTTTAGGAATTGCCCCCTTCACAAGAGAGTCCAGGCGCATTGTGCTTGTGGGAGCTAAAATTTTATAATACCCTGGTTAAATTTAAAAAGGAATTTGTATGTGAAAGGATTATTTAGTAATTACTGGCTGATGAGAAATCTCAGTGTACAAATAAGTTTGATCTTAGGAGTTTCCCCTAAATCCATCCAAGACCACCAGTTCTTCATTTCCCTTTCTCTAAGAATAGCAGTGAACGTAATCTGTCAGCTATTTCTTTGATCCAGATATCTCCTGGATCTCCCAAAAGTTGGTTATAATATCCTGACTTTCTTAAAACCAGGTCATCTGGATTTAGTTGTAGTTTTAGAAAAGACCATCAGTGTCTAAAAAGTGGGGAGGTGAGGAAAGACTCCCCATAGATTTGCAAATAATAACATCATCTGCTTTTTTTTTTTTACAAGCTGCTGTTACCACGCTATTGAAATACATTATTTAGCTGCAGTGCCCCCTAGTGTTCAAAGACTTTCTCAACTGGTAGTATAACCCTATGTAGTGTGATTTTAGGAAAAAAAATGTTTTGATTCAAAGAAGTCACTACTTCCTCCCTCTCCTTGTCATCTTCCAAGTGGAATAAGGAGAACTTTCATCAGATGTAAAACTAAGTAAAATTTCATTTTATCATTCTTTCTCTGTCCCATTTATATATATATTTTTGAGATTTTGGACTATAAATGCAAGTTGACCCGTGCCTAAGGAAGTGAACTACACCAGTAAGAAAAAGGTTTTAAACTGTTTTTCCTGCTGTAGCCACCTGAACTGTGCATTTTTAAGAACTATTCAAGTTATTGTCAAATTATTTGTTGATTGTCGATATAAAAATGTACATATATTATCTACCTGGGCCTTGAGAGTGAATACAAGAAAATTTTCTAGAGCACTGATAAAGTATGAAATATCCACTGCCCATCAGTCTGATCCTTATGTTTCAGAAATGATCCCTGGATCTGTCCTGATTAGTGATGCTGTTTTTCTGGAGTTAGTAGATGCCCTGAATCAATATTCAGATGAAGAGGAAGAAGGGCACAATGATACCTCAGATGGAAAGCAAGATGACAGCAAAGAAGATCTGCCAGTAACCAGAAAAAGAAAACGACATACTATTGAAGGTAAGCTGCATTGCTTCCTTATTCCAGTTGGAAGATGACAAGGAGAGGGAGGAAGGAAATAATAGAGAGGTTTATTCCTTATTAAAATCTGTTGGTGGGCCTCCCTGGTGGTGCAGGGTTTAAGTCTCAACACTATGAAGCTATCCACAGCCACTGCAGCACAAGTTCGATCCCCAGCCAGGGAGCTGTCCCACATGGTGCAGCAGACCTCTCTTGTCTTGCCTGCTGTTCCCCTCAGCAGTGTATTTCAGTCAGTCTGCCAGCTCTGCTCCCCATTCTGTCTCTGGTGAGTCCTCTCACCCCCTGAACCTTTGGCCTATATCCCAGGTCTTGTATGTATAAATAAATAAATCTTAAGGGAAAAAATCTGTTGGTACTTCTCTTTGGTTCACTTAAAAGAACATGATCACTAAGAGTTCTGCATGTCTGTGACCTGGCTCAAGAAGAAAGAGATGAACTTATGGGCTAACTCTTGTTCATTTCTTTTTTTTTTTTTTTTTTTTTTCTTTTATTTCTTTTATTTTTCTTTTATTTTCTTTTCTTTTATTTTTTAAGATTTAGTTATTTATACAAGCCCTGGGTACAGTCAGAAGCGTGGAAGGGTGAGAGAATTCACCAGAGCCAGAGCAGGGAGCTGAACAGGCAGACAGACGAAGTACACTGCTGAGGGGAGCAGCGGGCGGCAGGAGAGGTCTGTCACTCCATGTGGGACCCTCGCCCAGTGGCCGGGGATTGAACCGGCGCTGCAGAGGCTATGGACAGCTTCGCAACCCAGCGCTCAACCACTGCGCCACTGGGGAGGCCCTAACCCTTGTTCATTTCTAAATATAAAAGTAATGTGTATGGAAAACTTGGATAGGGTCTCCCTAGTGGTGCAAGGGGTTAAGCATTACACTATGAAGCTGTCCGCAGCCTCTGTAGCACGAGTTCGATCCCCAGTTCGATCCCTGTCCGGCCAGGGAGAAACCCACATGGCGAAGCAGACCTCTCCTGGCTCGCCTGCTGCTCCCCTCAGCAGTGTATTTCAGTCTGCCTGTTCTCTTCCCCACCCTATCTCTGGTGAATCCTCTCAACCCCTAAATAAATAAATCTTAAAAAAAAAAAAAAAAAGAAAAGAAAAAAGAAAACTTGGATATAAAAATAGGGCCTTTCTAGTGGTGCAGCAGGTTGAGCACAGCGCTATGAAGCTGTCCACAGCCTCTGCAGCACGGGTTCAATACCCGGCCAGCAAGGGAGATTCCCACATGGCGCGGCAGACCTCTCCTGTTGTGCCTGCTGCTCACCTCAGCAGTGTATTTCGTCCATCTGCCTGTTCTGTCCCCCACTCTGTCTCTGGTGAATCCTCTCACCCTCCCACACCTCTATCCGGTACCCCAGCTCTTGTATAAAAATAAATAAATCTTTTTTTAAAAAGATATAAAAAATAAACATGTATGTAGGCATATATATATTCACAAACATACATATGCACCTAAAAGTAATTCAAAGTTGCATGTCAGTGATATCTCGTTTTTGTTTTTTTTTTAAAGATTTATTTATTTTTTTAATTTGTGTATTTGTTTATTTATTTATTTATACAAGCACTGGGTACAGTCAGAAGCGCGGGAGGGTGAGAGAATTCACCAGAGCCAGAGCGGGGAGCAGAGCAGGCAGAAGGACCGAAGTACACTGCTGAGGGGAGCAGCGGGAGAGGTCTGCTCGCCATGTGGGACCCTCCTCCGGTGGCCGGGGAGCAGCCGGGGATCGAACCGGCACTGCAGAGGCTGCGGGCAGCTTCACAACCCAGCGGTCAACCACTGCGCCACTGGGGAGGCCCGATATCTCGTTTTTTAAAGTAAATGTATACATTAGCGTGTTTACATATGTTATATGATGCTGGAATCATGTCACATATTTTGTACATGTGTATATTCACATGTATTAATTGTATATCGCTATGTATTTATTTAACGGGTAAGTTAAAATATACCATCCTGTGCCAATTATTTAGCAAAGGGGAGATACCAAAAGAAACAATTAAAACTTTTGAAATGGCAGGACTTGGGGAGAGTGGACTCTTTGATATAAGCCTCTTAGAACCATTGGATTTTTAAACTACTCTATTACTTTGATAAAAAAATGAATTCCTTTTTTATTTACTCTTATATCTGAGCATGTTTCCATTTGTTAATATTTAATGCATAATTGTACATTGTACTCTGTGTTTTTTTAATATAATTAGTCCAGCAGTATAATGTCTCCTATTATAGCAGAGTTCTCTGTCGTGTTCTCCAGCATCAATATGATAGGATTCGTCTATATTCAGGTCTCTCCAAGAAAATAGATTCTGTCCTGAACTCTGGTTTTTATTGTTAATATGTAGATGGCTCTGATATCCTTATTTGCAGATAGCCCCTTAGATCAGTTCAGGTAGCATTGATCTTTATGTACTGCAAAGCAGCCAATATTTAAATTAACAAAGCAGGTCTAGTTAAAGTGCTGTGACAAAAGAAAAAAAGAGCTTTGCTTGCATGTTGATAATAGCACTCAGGAGCTTTCTGTCATTTCTAATTCAGGCAACAAAAAGAGTTCCAAGAAACAGTTCCCAAATGACATGATCTTCAGTGCAATTGCCTCTATGTTCCCCGAGAATGGTGTCCCCGATGACATGAAGGAGAGGTAGGGAAAGCTGTCCTGCTCAGGCCATGTTGAGTACTCGGACAAAACTTTTATACATATCTGTTGTTTGCTTAATAAATAGCCTTGTTTATGTTAAGTCCATTATCATTTGCCTAGAGTTCTGATGCCCCTTATTAATTCTAAATGCCCCTTCCCATAATAAGGATCATCATGTGCTGGCATTTGTTAAGTCTGGGCAGAGAATTTTTTTTAAAGTTTTGCCATTTTTCTGCACCATACTTAATCAAATCTTTTCCTACCCTTACTATCAGACATGTGTCTGACTCAGCACAATTACCATGGTGTATTCACCGAGCTATATACCAGTCTGTCTTCAACAAGACCCACAAAAAATACCTTTCCTCCCTTGGCAGGCCCTACATGGATGGTTGTCAATATTCAAATTGTATTTTCTCAGTGGAGAAATTCCCTTGAACTCTTACCTCTTTTTTCTTAAATAGGTATCGAGAGCTGACAGAGATGTCAGACCCCAATGCACTGCCCCCTCAGTGCACGCCCAACATCGATGGCCCCAACGCCAAGTCTGTGCAGCGGGAGCAGTCTCTGCATTCCTTCCACACGCTTTTTTGCCGACGCTGCTTTAAATACGATTGTTTCCTTCACCGTGAGTGGGGCTACTCTGAAGTGCTCTCCTCTTTCCCATCCCCAGCCACTGTCTCCTTCTCTTTATTTTCATTTATCATGTAGGGTTTCCAGCCTCTGTTCTGATTATGGTTTTATAAAGGGCAAGTTCTGTTTTTACTTGTAGGTTTACTTGTTAGTGGGATGTGCTTTGCGTGGTCAGAACAGAATAACCAGCAATATAATTGTCCCTCAACAGCTTCTCATTTTGAAAGGATTATGTTGCTATAAAAAAATGATTATGTTTTGTACATCTTAATGGTAGCTGTTACATCAAAATTCTCCTACAGCAGCTCACTAATTCAATTTTGTTTCTCACCATCTTGTCAAATGGATGAGCCACTGGAAACAGAACAATTTTGTGTTTTACAGCTTTTCATGCCACTCCTAATGTATATAAACGCAAGAACAAAGAAATCAAGATTGAACCAGAACCATGTGGTACAGACTGCTTCCTCTTGCTGGTACGTTCTTAAGCTGTTCTACCATTGTTAACTTTGTTTAAAATCAAGCAGGAAATGGTCCTTGGGCTTTCTGCCCCTGGCAACACAAACTAAGTGACCCAGCACATAGCGCTCAGGGGTCACAAAGCACAAACAGAACATGACTTCTGTTCTTAAGGGGCTCCCTGATGCTGAGGCAGTGGGAATGTGAAATTAGTCTTATGGAGTGAGATTTGAAGAACATTGTAGGCTTCCCTGCTCTAAATATCATCTACTCGGATTTCACAGTCTGAAACTGTGTTGTTTGAATTGGAGCGGGGTGTGTGTGTGTATGTGTCACCATTTTCTTTTCTGTCTTCCTTTAAATACATATGACTGTAGCAGGAATAGCACATGAAGGTGCTGATGTCATATGGTGACGTAATCAGCCAGATGGCCCCTTGCCACATGGACAGCTCTTTTGTGGGAGCAGTGATCCTCCTGCATTCCTGTGAGGAGGCAGTACACTGAAAGCTAGAAGAGAATGGGTCAGTTGGACTTGCCAAGCACAGTTTTCTATTCTACATACTAGTGTTAGCTTAAGTAAAGAAGGAAGTGCCTTGATAAAACCTCTACAAGTTAAGATAGTTATCCAGCCAAGTGTCGTTGGGGCCATCTTGAATGGGGTGTCACAAGAAAAGATGGTAGAGAGTGCCAATGGGCATGCATCTGGAAAATGGGCCATGTGGGAGTAGTAAAACAGTAAGTAGTCTTTATCTGATATGTATTTTCCCTAGTATTTTGATGCCTTCCTATATGGCAAATACCTTGCTGGCACTTAACATACATCTTATTTTCATGCTTATAACAACATCCTGATTATTATTATTATTATAACAATGTATTGTGTGTTTTTAACCTATGGAAATATTCGTGCACTTTTTTTTGGCTTGTTTTAGAAATCATTATATTCAACTATAATGCTGGGTTATTTTTCCCCAGACTTTTTATTAACATTTTCACTTGTGCAAAGAAGTTGAAAGATAGCTTCTTCCTGGACTTAATGGCACTTGTCCATATTTGCTTTCCCCCTATATTTGTGTATGTATATTTTTTGCTGAGTCATTTGAAAATATGTTGCATGCATCGTGACTCTTGTTTGCTAAGTTTTATCAGCATGCATCTGCTAAAATATATTCTTACATAACCACATTTTACACCTGGCAAAATTAACAAGAATTTCATAATGACATTTATCTATTCCCTATTCATTATTTCCCTTATTGTACTAAAAATAGCTGTTTGATTTGATTTGATTTGTATCATATTTTGTTACTGTGTCTTTTCAGTCTAAACTGAACAGTCTGTTGGATCCATGTTCAGTCTCTTTTAATCTCAGTCCTACTACTTGTTTTTTTCTTTTTGAAAAGTCTGGACTGATGGTACTGTAAGATGCCCTATGTTCTGGATTTGTCTCTTGCTTTCTCTTGGTGTCATTCAACTTGTTTCTCTGTCCCCTCATTCCCATAAGCTAGAATTAGCTTTCAAGGCTTTAGTATACTTGTGTTTAGCCTTTTGTGTAAGAATACACTGTAGGTGATGCTGTGTGGGTCACATTATCAGATTTAATTAATTTTGAAACTTCTCTCTTGCAATTTCCTTAGGGCCGATAGTACAATATCCTTAGTAGTGGTAAACATTTGTCCTTTAAAGGTAGATATAGTTTTCAGAGCAGAGATTAAGGCACAGATGCAAGCCGAGAAGACCAGAGAAGGACACAGGAGTAGACGGTCGTCTTCTAGTCAAGGCGAGGACTCAAGAAACCAGCCTGTCAGCTTCATGATTTCAGGCTTCGAGCCTCCATAGTTGGGGAGAATAAATTCCTATTGTTTAGCCACTCAGGCTGTGCTATTTTGTGATGGCAGCCAGTGAGGACTAAAACAATGGGAGAGGTAACCCGTGCCCTGATTCATGTATCCACTCTGGAACAATGAGCTGTGTGCTCTCAAGCAAATCTCTTCCTCCCTCTTGACCTCATTTCCTCATCTATGGGAAAATGTGTTCTCAACCCAGCTAACATGCATATGAATTTTAGCTACAACTCACTGGAAGCGGAAGGTGTATAAAAACACAAATCGCATTTTTTTTTTTAAGATTGTAGGGCAGCTGTTTTGTGAAGCAATGGAAGTTTATAAGCTTTAGAATGTTAAGCTGCTACTTTATGGTCATACTTAACATGGTACAGAGCAAACTAACAAGTGACAACACCATTGCACTTATGTGCAGAGGTTGACGAAGATGGTTTGTGGTCATGGGACCAGTGTGGAGACACTGAGTCTGTTCCTATTTCCTGTCTGTAACGTGTCTGCTGCAGGAAGGAGCAAAGGAATACGCCATGCTCCACAACCCTCGCTCCAAGTGCTCCGGTCGTCGCCGGCGAAGGCACCACATGGTCAGTGCCTCCTGCTCCAATACTTCCACCTCTGCTGTGGCTGAGACTAAAGAAGGGGACAGTGACAGGGACACAGGCAATGACTGGGCCTCCAGTTCTTCAGGTACAGTGGACAGAATATGACCTTTTCTTTTGATGCAAGGACTCCAGAAAACCCAGGATCACTGCCTGGTTGTTAACATTACTACTTTTTAAAATTAATTCTTCCCACCGGTACACCTCTAAGCAGTGGACACAGGGAATGTTTTGTTTCTAACTAGTCGGTCTTTCAAAGTAGAATGAAGTACTTATGCATTTGTGGCAAACTATTGCTAATAATCACATTCCACCTACTTCTGTTTCTCTTACTTCTTCCTCTCTTAGAGGCTAACTCTCGCTGTCAGACTCCCACAAAACAGAAAGCGAGTCCAGCCCCACCTCAGCTTTGTGTGGTGGAAGCACCTTCGGAGCCTGTGGAATGGACAGGGGCTGAAGAATCCCTTTTTCGAGTCTTTCATGGCACCTACTTCAACAACTTCTGTTCAATAGCCAGGCTTCTGGGGACGAAGACATGCAAGCAGGTACTGTCTGAAAGGAGCAGGGACATGCTGGGTGTCCTCCTTCATCCTCTGCTCTGTCAGCCGTTTGCCCCCTGCCTAGGCTGCCTGCCTGGAGGCAACTTATCCTGTGCTCATTCCCTCGTGAGCCTGTACTCTGGGCCATGAAATCTATTCCCCAGATGTGGGGCCTCCTGCAAATGTGGGGCCTCCTGCAAGCCTCCTGTGAGGCTTGGCATTTGCATTCTCTTTCTTTGATTTCTGCCTTTGTTTCTAGAGGTGTCTTCTTTCCCGGAAGGACCTCCCAGGTCTCTCTGGGGATCTGCTTGTCCTCTCTGGGAATCTGCCGCTGCTGCTCCTTCCACCAGTCTCCTCAGTTGCTTTATTCTCCAAATGTTCTATTACTAGATTTTTTTTAAAAGATTTATTTATTTATTTATACAAGCACTGGGTACAGTCAGAAGCGCGGGAGGGTGAGAGAATTCACCAGAGCCAGAGCGGGGAACAGAACAGGCAGATGGACGAAATACACTGCTGAGGGGAGCAGCGGGCACAGTAGGAGAGGTCTGCGCACCATGTGGACCCCTCGCCAGCGGCCGGGGATTGAACCCGCGCTGCAGAGGCTGTGGGCAGCTTTGCAGTCTAGTGCTCAACCTCTGCACCACCAGGGGAGGCCCTAGATTTTTTTTTTTTCAGTATCACCCCAAATAACTGGGCCTGGGCCTCACCCTTTTACTCAGACCAACTAGAATCACAACCTGATAGCAACCACTAATGCTGTGGTGGCAGAAAACCACCTCAGTGAGGAGACCCACAGAAACACAGGGTCAGGGAGTCGGGGGGGGGGGCGGGGGGGTAGGATTAGTCCCCAATAGCAAAGGAACAGCAGAGCTTGTTGGCTCCCTACATTTGGAGGTGTCTCTGTGGCCTCTTCTGCCTGCTTCCTTTATACCAAGCCATTGGACCATGAGGTGCCCTTTGCTTTCATTTTGGTGGTCTTACCTATTTCCCTGAGTCATAGGTTCTTACCCTAAAATTCTATGGAAAGGAATGCAAAAAAGGTTGGCATTTTCCTGAGAAGAAATGTATAGATTCCACAAAATCTGAAAAGGGCCTATAAAAAAAAGGAAAAGCCAAAAAAGAAAACCCAAAAACAATGCTGTAAGCAGCCTGTTGGGAAGGAACCATCCTGAGAGGCAGTCCTCCTGAAACAGTCAAGACGGTCACCTTTGTACCAACAGAGGGCGCCAGTGCTTAGCCTGGCAGCACCATAGCCCTGACCTCGTGCTGTTACACAAGGTCCACTCTGTTGCCCTTCCTAAGAAGAGACAGATGCTGTTGGTAAGAATCAGCCCACTCAGGGCTTGGCAGGAAGAGAAGTTAGAGGAAAACTACTGTTATGTGCTCGGGGTTTCTCCTTTCTCAAGTCAGGATAAACACCTAAATATTAGCTTCAGAGCCAGCCACCCCATGTTCCAGGGCCGCTTGCTCTCTGACACGCTCAGTCAGCTGCCAGTGAGCAATCCAGAACCCTCCCAAGCCCAGCGCCTGGTTGGGTCACTTATCTGACCTTGCCCAAGAGGTGACAGGTCCTGTTGGATTTCTCTTCCAGGTCTTTCAGTTTGCAGTCAAAGAATCACTTATCCTGAAGCTGCCAACAGATGAGCTCATGAACCCATCGCAGAAGAAGAAAAGAAAGCACAGGCAAGGGTTGGACAAAGGACTTTTTGTGGCCTGGCTGTTCTCTGTGCTCTGCCCTCCCCTTGGACTTCCCATCTCCCTCCCTCTCTGGCTACTGCCTGTGCTCAGCATTGCACAACTGCGGTTCTTGTGCTTCCTGCAGGTCTAGGCCTCAGACCCGCCCTTCCCCTGTCCCTAGGAGCCATGGACCATGAGCTCACACTGGCCACTTAAGCTCCTGGCCAGTTGGACATGAGCGATTAACCTCTCGGCTTACCCGGAAGGCTGTTTCCCCTTTCTGGGTGGTTAGTTACCATCCTTACCCACTTCTTTAACACTGACCAGAGTTTATTCCTTTTCTTTCTTTTTTCCCCTGGCAACTTGTACAATTTTTTTGGCAACATACTTGTGTTGTTTTTCCAAGTTTCATAATGATACGGTCTTCTAGCAAGCCTTTGCTTAGGAGATTTCTTTAAAAGTTCAGCTCTCTGCCTGGCTTGGTCCCTGATGGCTATTACCTAGTGAGGGAGGGAGCTGACACTAGTTCTAGCTATAGAAGTCCTGGGTTTCTCCCTTTCAGTTCTGTCATTAGAGCAGATTCCTGAAAAGCCTTCCAGCCTCTCCATCTTGAAACTTTCCCAAATATCCACCTCCCCAAAGAGAGGAGGGGGAGAAGGAGAAAAGGAGAAGGAGAAGCAATAGCATTACAATAGACTTAAAGGGTTGGGTTTTGTTTGTGTCTTTTTTTGGTTCTTGAATGTTTATTTTCTGGGGCATGGGATGTCATTTAAATTTTTATCCTGAGGCTTAGACCAGCTGGATTCAAGACGAAGTGGCTTCCATGGACCAGAGTGTAGAGGCCTCCTGTGTAGGGTCTGGGGGAGGATGCTCCCTAGTTATCAAGCCACAGTCCCTCAGAGCACATTGCATTTTTCGTTTTCCGTACCTGCAGACATCCCTGGGGCAGGACCCAGGCCTATCCCTTCTCTCTTTTTCAGATTGTGGGCTGCACACTGCAGGAAAATTCAGCTGAAGAAAGGTGAGTTCCTCCAGGGCATTCTTCGGCAGTTCAGCTCGAGGTCTCACCCCTGTGGCATCCCACTGCCTCAACTGCAGCTGTACTTGTTGACCCTGCACTGCTTCCGCAGACTGCAGATTTCTCTGCAGCAGCTGAGAGCAGCTCAGCTTCTCACTGCAGTTGAGAAGATCTCTCAGGAGGTAGAGTTATGGGCTTTGTGGTCTCTGACTTTCATAGTGTGCCATTTGCTAGGTTCTAGACTTCGTTGAATGTTCAGAATAGCTACACTGTGGTCCCAGATCATTTTCACACTCTCCCCACCCTATTATAGCCTCTGAGCAGCCATCATCTGTGATTTCTTCTCCCCACAGGGGCTAAAAGTACATCCAGGGTTATGGTTAGAACAGGCCCGCTTTATTTATTTATTTATTTTTTCAAAGTCTTTTATTTTTTTAATATAAATTTTATTTTTATATTCCCCATACAACTGCAACCCCCTTATTTTGACCCCAATCCCTCCCCTCCCGCCCCCTACCTCCCATAGAGTGTCTCTGGTTCATAGTTTTTTGTTGATTTTGATTTTCACTTTCTTATAGTTATTCATTTTCCTGGTCCCTTATTTAAGTTTTCTAGATTCCTGCTATGAGTGAGACCATCCGGTATTTTTCTTTTTCTTTCTGGCTTATTTCGCTGAGCATGATCCCTTCCAGCGCCATCCATGCTGCTGCAAATTGCATGTGTTTATCTTTTTTGAATGCTGAGTAATATTCCATGGTGTATATGTACCACATCTTCTTGATCCAGTCATCTATTTTTGGGCATTTGGGTTGTTTCCAAAGCTTAGCTATTGTAAACAGTGCTGCTATAAACATAGGGGTGCAGGTGCTCTTTGGAATTGATGTTTCTGTGTCCTTTGGGTAAATACCTAGGAGTGGAATTGCTGGATCATATGGGAGCTCTATGTTTAGTAGGTCCAGAAATCTCCACACAGCTCTCCATAGTGGTGGGGCCAGTTTGCACTCCCACCAACAGTGCAGGAGAGTTCCTTTTTCTCCACACCCTCGCCAACATTTGTTGTTGCTAGTTTTTTTAATATGTGCCATTCTCACTGGTGTAAGATGGTATCTCACGGTAGTTTTGATTTGCATTTCCCTGATGACAAGTGATGTTGAACATTTTTTCATATGCCTATTAGCCATTTGCATTTCCTCTTCAGAGAAGTTTCTTTTTAGCTCTTCTGCCCATTTTTTGACTGGATTATTTTCTTTGTTGTTGAGCTCTTTAATTTGATGTAGTCCCAGCTGTTTATCTTTGCCTTCACTATCACTGCTTTGGGTAATGTGTCTGTAAAGATGTCTTTGATGTGCATATCACGTAGTATTTCGCCTATATTTCCTTCTATGTATTTTATGGTTTCAGGTCTTATGTCTAGTTCTTTAATCCATTTTGAGTTGATTTTTGTGTATGGTGTGAGGTAGTGGTCAAGCTTCATTCTTTTGCATGTAGCGACCCAGTTTTCCCAGCACCATTTATTGAACAAACTTTCTTTGCTCCAATGCATAGTCTTTGCTCCTTTGTCAAAGATTAGTTGACCATAAATCTGTGGGTTTATTTCTGGATTTTCTATTTGATTCCATTGGTCTGTATGTCAGAACAGGCCCACTTTAATCAGGGCAATTAGACCTGGGGGAGAGGCCTCTAGGGAGCCCAGGCACAGCCGCGACCTGGTCTGTTCTTCTCTCCTAGATAACTCTTCCACACAAGTGTACAACTACCAACCCTGTGACCACCCAGACCGCCCCTGTGACAGCACCTGCCCCTGCATCATGACTCAGAATTTCTGCGAGAAGTTCTGCCAGTGCAACCCAGATTGTAAGAGCCCACGTGTTCCCCTGAACCTACCAGACCCCTGAGCCTGCCAGACAGCTGGCCTTGCACATCCAGATTTCCCTCCATCCTGAGCCCTGTGCTGCTTCTGGACCTTCTGATGGTCTCTTTGCTGGTTTTCAGTATTCTAAATAAGAAATGAGATACTTAAGTTCTAGAAAAGTGACTTTTTAAATCTTAAGGTGCATGATTCAAAAAGCAGCAATTACACAGAAATCACATGCTTTCCTAACTTTACTTTCCAAAGCAAAATGAGGAAACATGGGGATACTGAATTTTTTTAAGGTGCAGTGTTGTTTCACAACATACACAGGATACAATTCTGTGTATGTCTGTTTTATTTCATATCTAGGTTTCAATATCGGGTTGGTCTGGATATCAGCACAAGAGAGGATTGAGGCCAAAAGTGCCTTGCTTTCCTCAGGCCTCAGCAGCTTGAGGGTAGCACCCAGAGCCAGCAGCACTTGGTGCTCAGGCAGTTATGCTAGAAATATTTCTTAAACCCATAGCAGATATCAATCTTAACCACAGCATAGGGGCACTTGTGCTGGGGAGGGCAGAGGGTGGAGGAGGGTGGCATAAAACGGATGCATTCTGTTCTCAGAATGACTCTTGTTTTGATGGTGAGTTTATACCAGTCAAAAGTACTGATTTAATTTTCCCTGGGGCAATATCCACCTCCCTTGCCAATTCACCAACCAGGGGGAGGGAGCCCAATGGTGGGGGGAATCTCTAGGGAACACATCTCAGTAGTCCAATCTGCTTTTTTGAATCTCAGGTGTGAATGTTGGGAGGTACTCTGTGTATTCCAGAAAAGACTTGAGTATGTGATTGAGTTATCTGCAGGGGGCTTCTCTCCTCTCTCTCTGTAGGGGGCCAGATATCCTTGAACCTGTAACAGTTACTTCCCTGCCATCCCTTGTGTCGAACCTGAGCCCCAGCATTAACCTGCTTCTCTTCCTAACCGTACCGGTCTTCCCTCCCAGGTCAAAATCGTTTTCCAGGCTGTCGTTGTAAGACCCAGTGCAATACCAAGCAGTGTCCTTGCTATCTGGCAGTGCGAGAGTGTGACCCTGACCTGTGTCTCACCTGTGGGGCCTCAGAGCACTGGGACTGCAAGGTGGTTTCCTGCAAGAACTGCAGTATCCAGCGTGGCCTCAAGAAGGTGAGGACTATTCTCAGGAATCAGGCCAGATAATGGAGCAGAACAGATAGAACAGTCCTGTTAGTCTCAGGACTAACCTCAGCCTAGTTCTTTAGAGATTTTGCTTGTGAAAGTACTCAGTAAATCCTAAAAGACATGCATTTACTGAATTGATAAAGTTCTGTGTGCCAGTGAGGCACTAGGAAATTGAACTGACCAGACAGGGGCAGAGTGGAGGGGCACCGTGGATGTTGTCTGTTCCCCCTGGACACACAGCAGTGCCCACCTGTGGACATAGGTCCATCTCCGGAAGAGGCATCATCTTTCCTTTCACCACTTCCTTCTTTGTTTTTCCTCCTACCAAGACAGAATCACTTAAACCTTTTTCTGTTTTCAGATCCTCTTAACAGTTGGTAGTTCTTTCCACCCTGCCCCCCCCACCGCCATCTTCTCGCACATGCACATCCAGCACACGTACCCCCTCACACATGCCCTATAGTCTGAGGTTTGACACCCTCTTCCCCAGCACCTGCTGCTGGCCCCCTCAGATGTGGCCGGATGGGGCACCTTCATTAAGGAGTCTGTGCAGAAGAACGAATTCATTTCTGAATACTGTGGTGAGGTGAGTGCTGTCACTTTGGCCCACATTCTTTCTGGGGAAATACTGATGAGGGACCCTGATTTTCTGTGGGCCACACTTCTTTGACTTAATCTCTAAATAACTCAGCTGGGTTCTCATGTGGCCTCTTGGGAGATCCCACAGCGCAGTTTGCAATCCTGAAAGAAACCACTCTTTTTCTATACTTTGGTATCTCAGATCACACAGAGAAGACAGGTGGGGAGTTGAGTCTCTTCTCAGCCTGAGTACCAGTCAGCCTGGGGTGGGGGTGGGAATGAAGTCCCATGCTGATCCTCCTCATGACACTCAGTAAGCACATGCGTGACATTGCCCCATCCCCATCCTTTCTAGGGAAGGGTACCGTGTCCTGAGCAGGCCACCTGACCCCCCTCCTCATTCGTTGTCTGTCTCTGCAGCTTATCTCTCAGGATGAGGCAGATCGACGAGGGAAGGTCTACGACAAATACATGTCCAGCTTCCTCTTCAACCTCAACAACGGTATGGAGTTTCTCTCTCATCTCAAGGTGGTCTCCAGCAGGTCTCCCCACCAGATTTCACTTCCCACCAGATTTTCCAGGCCCAGATGACCTCTGAATCTCCCAACACACGCAAAGAGCAAGGTGGTGCGATGGAACTCAGAGGCACCACAAGCCACAGTTCTCCTGTCCAGGGAGACCCTCCATTTCTGGGTTGTGTTTGCAACCAGAGCACTAAGCATGTCACCTCAGAAATCCTACCTGCAGATCCACAATTCAGGCAAAGCGGGGAGGGCACCCAAAGAGAATGCTCTGAGTTGAGGCTGAACTGTGGTACTGCTCCTGTTGGCATTCTGGCCTCCGGCACTCCAAGTGGATCGAACTGTTTACGTTACTGGTTAATTGATTTTATTTTTTTTTAAAGATTTATTTATTTTTTATATAAGAACTATGGTACAGGCCAGAGGCATGGGAGTATTCACCAGAGACAGAGTGGGGAGCAGAACAGGCAGATGGACCGAAATATCCTGCTGAGGGGAGCAGTAGGCGAGACAGGAGAGGTCTGCCATGCCATGTGGGTTTCTCCCTGGCTGGCAATAGAACCCCACGCTGCAGAGGCTGCGGACAGCTTCACAGCGCTGCACTCAACCCCGCTGTGCCACCTGGGAGGCCCTGGTTAATTGATTTTAAATTCAGCCTCAAGAAGCTATGGTGTTCCCTGGTGAGCTCACAACCTTCCTTGGCTTACTTGATGCAGATTTTGTAGTGGATGCTACCCGGAAAGGAAACAAAATTCGATTTGCAAACCATTCGGTGAACCCCAACTGTTACGCCAAAGGTGAGTTCCCAGTGACCTGTGATTTCTGTTACTCGGCTTTTTTGTAGATGAGTTACTATTTGTCCACACATAATCATGATTAATGTTTGGTATCATTTTGAGCATCTTTTCCTCAGTTTTAGGATCTGCTTTTTAGCTGAATACATGATAAACAGTCTCCCACAAGGCTGAGTCTTACAAAGATTATTCTTTTCCCAAGTCACTCATCCGAATAATAGATATGAATGCACAGAGGCCACTGCCCTCATTGATTACTTTCTAGTTCCACTTCGTGTATGTTTTCACTGAAAATTTGGAGAAAACCAGTCCAGAATCACTGCTGGTTGTTGCCTTGAGTTGGCGAGGAGCCTAGCCTCAGGTCTGTCCTATTTGCAGTGGTCATGGTGAATGGAGATCATCGGATTGGGATCTTTGCCAAGAGAGCAATTCAAGCTGGCGAAGAGCTCTTCTTTGATTATAGGTGAGGCAACCAGGAATGGCTCTAGGGAAGTGGCCCTGGAGGCGGAAGGGAGCTCTCAGAGCTGATTTGGGGGCGTGTGGTGGGTGACATGGATGAAGGAAAGGATCTCCCAGGGCCCCAGGATCTCCCCGGGCGAGCCCCTTGTTCTGCTCTCTGGGACCTGCCTGGGCAGGGCCATGGGAGCATGCACACCGCCGTTGGGGAGCGGGGGAAGTGAAACGGGAGGGACTATCTTGCTGTTGTAAAAACCTCGGTAGTAATCTGGTTCCTCCTCGTGCTCTTGGACAGGTACAGCCAGGCGGATGCCCTCAAGTACGTGGGGATCGAGAGGGAGACTGATGTCCTCTAGCCCTCCTGGGCCCCGCGCCAGCGCTTCTGGTAGCGGCACTCACTGCTTTCACGCACACACCACTGCTGCTCGAGTTTCCTGCACTGTGTGTCCCCCACACTGAGAAACCCCCACCCACTCCCTCTGTAGCAAGGCCTCGGTTGTGTCCAGTGGGGACAAACTGTCTCATGACAGGGGGCAGAGGCAGCTGGGGTTGGGCTCCCAGGAGAGAGCTGCAGAGATGGGAGACTGTGTCTGGCGCCAGAGGCAGAGAACACGGCTGGGGTGGGTGACTGTGCTTGCTTTCTTGTCAGCTACCCAGAGTGTGGCCTCAGATATCCACTTGGGCAGTTCCTAGCAAGCATTACCCTCTAATTCTAATTTTCCAAATCAAGGGTCCTGTTTAATCAGGTTGCCAGCATCTCTCTGTGGAGAGGACAGGCCAAGTAAAGTTTTATGGAGCCTGTGAGTGGCCTGGGTTAAAGGCCAGCCTAGCCGGTAGCACAAACTGAATGCAGAGGGGAAATGGGTTGTCTTACTACCTCTTTCCTCCTGGCAGGGTTCAGACTGAAAGAGAAGTGGTTCTAAATACAGCCATTCAGCCCTGGGAGAAGGAAAGTGAAATGCCATTCTTTCAGTCAGAGAGGGCCAGCCTGACAACAGTAGTCAAACTGCTAGCTTGGGGCCCAGCCGGCTTGAGAACACCTTCTCTGTGTACCCTGGAGATGGATGGATAAGCTTCAGATTCCCCAGAGCAGGTGCCACGCCCTCTCCGCTCCTTCCAGAATTCTGGTGTAGTGGCCACAGCCGGGTTTGTGCTGCTACTGAAGAGCCTTGGGGGGTGAGCACTCTGGTGGTTTGCAGGCTTTTCTCTCCCTTAGAGGCTAGGGTAGGTGGGCGCCAGCCTGGACTGGGGAGGGGCAGAGTGCTAGGACATACTTTCCTGTCTGTCGTGCCTGCTGTTGGAAAGGGTGAATTGACAGTGTTGGGAGGTAGGTGAGGGGCTCCCTGATTCATGTGTTTATATGACATCACGTGCCGTGCAGATTGGCCGCAAGTACTTGAAGCATCAAGAAGCAGGCAGACCACCTGTCCCAATCTGTGGTGCCGTTCCCTCTGGGATTCATGCAGAGCAAAGCACTTTATTTCTTTTAGGTCTGTAGATCGAGGTGGAGTTTGAGCTAAGGTCTTGGGTCCTTGCCTAAATCCCATCCCTGAGGGAGGTGGGAGAAGAGTGGAAGATTCTTGTCCAGTTCTGTCTCATCTCATGGGGGAGTTAGGAGAAGCTGCCTTGCCACAGAAGAACTGGATGAGTAGCGGCCAGGCTAAGGGCTGCCCGTGTCTCTGGCTGCTGCTTAGCGGGGAGTCAGGAGCATGGTGCTGGGTTAGGGAGGTGGGCAGGGACAGGCTGGACACAGGCGTCCCTTCTCTCTGGAAATTCAGCACCTCTCTTCCCTGAGTTTCTGCTGACCACTCCCTCCAGCCCCACTGGCTGTCCCATGAAGCAGATGGCAGGGTTGCCTCTGGCCAAGCTGTCACCTAGGGATGTTCATGGGACACACGCGCTCACCTGCTCTCACGCACCATACTCGCAGGTGCACTTGCACTCAGCACCAGCCCAGCCAGCTCCTGACAGACCTCTTCCCACCTGACTGTTAGCCCCTGTGATGATTCTGGAATCTGCACCTGCTGTGGTTTATGTTATGTATGTTGGGGATGCCCTGTAGCTGGACTGCAGGCTAGAAGGACAAATCAGAGACAGAGGAGGAGTTAGGTCTGTCTGAAGTGCCAGGGGCTAGCCATGAGGAGTAGGTGAGAAAAAATGACATCCAGCCTTTGAGAGGCTAGGCTGACCTCGCCCTTCCCTCAGCGTGCAGAATCACTGTGGTGGACCCCCTCCCCTTTTCAGACCACTAATATTTCCCTTCCTTTTCCCCCCTCCACCCTGCCATCCCTCACCTTTAATGACGGGTCTCAACCCCTCCCCCCAGACATGGAATGATGGATGGAGCAAGGTGGTAGAGACTGGGGGGAGGCTGGTTTATGTGCGGCTTTATTGCCAGTGAATTTCACGCACTTTAAAGTCTTGTGGCTTGTGACCTCTTATCTGAATAAAATGGTAGAATCCATTTTGGCAAGTTGTATACTGTGTGCTTTGAGTCCAGAAGGATCCAGGGATGGTGGTACAAGAACAGGCCAGGCTAAAGCGTCAGCATTCAGATCCCCACTGTCCACCGAGATCTAGGGGTGGAGGAGGTGGAAGTGGTGGCAAGAACCATCAGACTTTCGGTAGGTTGGGTGAGGATTTTGAGGGCTCCCCGAGCTGATCAGTTCAGTTAAAATCACCGCACTCACCCCCTGACCAGGACGCCAGCTACCACACACAGACTGGGCTCTGCCACTCGGCTTTATTAAAATGGCTCCGAGTCTGTGAGCACAGCTTCAGAGTGCAGGCTGGGTCAGGCTGGCGCATGACCAGCGCACCTCAGGAGACTTCCAACACAGGAGAAGCAAACTACAGACTGTGGGCACAGCACAGGACAGGACAATCCACTGATTTTTTTCTTTTATATATAAACTGATAATTAAAAAATTAGAGTAATATATAGTTTCTCTAGAGAGAGACTTTGCAACAAAAAATATATATAAAGAATGTGACCTCCTGACAAACGAAGCAGCATCTCTGAGCGGAGGAAAGCGGGCTCCTCATGCATTGGAGAGGGGGCCGAGCCTGTGGACAGGCACCAAGGCTATTGCACATCTTAGCAGAGGGAGGAAGAGTAGACGGCTGGCAGGTCAGGGTGTCTGCATTATTCTCTCTACGTTGCAAGTTTTTTTATGGCTTTGGCTAAAGCATGTAAAGCAGCGGAGGTACTAAAGTGCTAAACTGAGGCCTCTCGGTCTCTGTGGAAAAAAAAAAAACAACAACACAAAAAACAACAAGGGGGTGGGGGACAGCAATGAAGCCCTCCATAGCCCCCAGCTGAGTAGAAGCAGATGGAAGACGTTCTGCAGGGCAGGAGGGAGGCTGGGGGGATATGATTTAGCAGCCTCCTCCCTCCTTACCCTGCGCATCCCTGCAATCCCACACATCTGTCCCTGCTGAGATTGAATATTTGAAGGGAGGCAGTTAATCTCCCCTGCACTCTGTTGTTAATCCCTGGCAGCAGCTGAGACAGAGATGGCAAAGAACCCTGTGAGGCTTCTTTGGGGCAGGCAGACATCCAGGAGCCTGGGGAAATGGGCATGGGCAGGGCATTGGTTTAGGCAGTGAGGCTCAGCCACTCCCTTTAGTCCCATCTGTATCTCTGCCCATCAAACTTGGCAGGAGGGGTGTCCTCTGGATGAGCAGAGCCTGCAAAGAGGAGCCAAATGCCCCTGACAGGGTTGGGTAGAAGGCAGGAACTGGGGAATTCAGAGGAGATGAACTTGGTCCCTTATGCCCTTCTGATTCATTCAGACCTGGACTCCTCCAGGATCTGGGGCAGGTTTTGGTCCCGTGGGCCCGGGGCAGGGGCTGGCGCTGGTGCTGGCGCTGGCTCTGGGCCTGGGGCTGGGGCTGGAGTGGAAGCTGGGGTGGCAGCTGGAGTGGAAGCTGGTTGGGGGGCCGGGGCCTGGGCAGAGCCTGCAGTAGGTAAGGGGGGTTTGCTGCCAGGGTGGTAATCGTGGGTGGCCGTGGGCTCATTGGTGTGATAGGAGCCCTTGTAGCGATGATGTTGAAGGTAGAAGAGCACCAACATTCCCACCAGCCCCAGCAGCAGGAAGGCCACCAAAACTGAAAAGGAAACAAGGAACAATTCAGGACAGAAGTTGGGATTTCACAACCCTATCGGGCTGGTCCCAAGCGTCTGGAAGGTCTCAATTCCTGGCTCAGCCTCTGCCATCTTCTACTTCAGTATCTTCATGTTACATACTTGGTAGCTCCCCCAATTAAGCATCTCTCCGGATGTTACTAGCCTCCCATTTCTTCATCCCTTAGCTATAGTCTCATTTTAATATTTCTACTAAAAGCCTACAGCATCTTCAATATTTAAAAATTTCCAGCCCGATGATTTACTACTTTTGCACAGCCTAGCTCATCCTTTTCCTCACCCGTGCCGTCTTGCCTAGTTCTAGCTCATCTACCCCTCAACCCTGGGGAAGGGGGCAGTGGGTTTAGGGGCAGAATGTTGACAGTCAGAGGGTAGAATTGGGAGGTCAAGGTGCTGATCAGTGCTACTCACAGCCTAAAAGTATGGCCACCCATCCGTCATCATGGTAGTATGGGAAATCTGAAAAGGAGAAGCACCAGTTAGGAGAAACTCCCAGTTAGGAGAAACCCCTGTGTTGGGAATCACTTCCCCACCCTGCTGTCTCTCTCTTCCCCCCGCCATTCTGTGTCCCAGCACCATGTACCTGGGGGCAGATACCAGGGGTCCAGCTCGGGCGGCACCTCTGAGAATAGACGTGGCATGGCTCCACAGTTCGATTCTGCCAGTTCTCCCTGAACGCGGAGGGCCTCCGCTAGCTCCGCGGTCATGGGGCGAGGGGTCCGGAAGTGGGTCTTGAGGGGAGCCACGTTGTTAAATCGAACACCAGACAGGCAGCCCGAGAAGCCTGGTGTGTTGTAGCGCTGGATCTCTGGGTCGATTACTCCAGTCTCTGAGGGCCCAGAAAGGGAGGGGCTTGGGCCACTACGACCTCTGCCCCCTCGACAGCTATAGCTTTCCTTCTCATCTCTCCCACCACCTTCCCTGCATTCCCAGGCCTTCACTTGCCTCCGGGCTCCAGAGACAACCCCAACCCTCCTTCCCCAGAGTCCATTCTCCCCCGCAGCTTACCCATCACACGCCCTAGATACAAGGCCTTGGGCGAGTCCAGCTGGCTGTCCACCAACAGTGAGAACTTCTGTTCTGTCAGTGGGAAGTAGTCCACCTAGGGCGGGTGTGTTGGGAGAGGAAGTTGAGAGTGGACCAGAGGCAGATGTAGCCAGACCAGGCAGGAACTCTCCACACCGGGGGTGCCACTGGGTGAGTCCTAACTCAGTCCTACATGCTCAACCCCTGGGCCCAGATAGAGGATTTGGTATTTGACAACTTATTTTTGAGTCCTGTCTTTGTAGCATCCTAGTGGCTTGATTTGGGAAAATCACTTTATTTTTCTAAGCCTGTTTCTGATTAGTACAATGGAGACCCTAAGAACACCTGCCTATCTGCACTACCTCACAGAGAGGTTGTGAGGGCCCCGAGAGGTAGTTTAGAATGTGCCCTCCAAGTGTTAAATATTTTCCTGGGTGCCACAGCCTAGATAATGAGGTTCTGATGATCTGAACTGGCTACTCCCTTGTCCACCTCCCTGTACATGTACCTGGATGAAGAGGTGGCGGTAGACCCTGGTGATATTGACGCTGTGAGGCTGGCCGTCGGTAACTGGGCGGGTGGTTAGCTGGTACACATAGGGACTGGTGCCCAGCTGATACCGCAGCTGCAGGGTCCCTGAGGGGTTAGGAAAGACAAAGAGTCTCCTCTCAGCTCCCACAGCCCCCTTCTCCTGAGAGCACTTGGGTCCTTGTATCGGTGAATCAGTAGTTACGAGAATGTTGAACACCCTGGAGGAAGCTGGAATGGGGGGAAGGTCCTCGAGGGCCTTACCATCTTCTTTGATGAGCACAGCCATGTAGTCACGCACAAAGGAGCTGACGTAGAGCAGGACAGCAGGAGCAGAGCTGGTGCTGAAGCTGAAGGACACTTCCTCTCCAGTCACATTGTAGACGGGTCCCCGGTAACCCGGCACAGGCCGGCCGGGCCGGGGATAATCAGGCAGGCGGTACCCGGGGCCATGGTAGCCAGGCACGTAGCCAGGAGTGTCATAGCCAGGGATATAGCCAGGCTCATAGCCTGGCACTGGCCGGCTCAGCATGTGGGAGAACTCCCGGGCTGCCGAGCGCAGGGCGGACTGCAGGTTATAGCGCATCCAGGTGCCAGGCTCAAAGAAACCGCCAATATCTGAAGGCAGAGGTAGTAAGGTCAGGGCCCTGTTCCCTCTCAGCCCCTGAGGTTTGCCCTCAGTTTCTGCCACAACCACAACAAACCTCCGTTCTTTTAGATCCCCTTGCAGCACCCCCCTGTCACAGAATGGAATCTTTAAACCAGGAGAAACATAAAATGTCATCTAACCCAACTCCTGCATTTCATGGAAGGGAAGACAGGCTCAGAGATGGGTAGTTACTTGCCTAAGGATACACAGTAAGTGTATCCTTACTGTGGTCAAGATAGCTCAAAATTTCATAACCCCGGCGGGCACACTTGTCACTACTTAAACTTCCAGGCCAAGACCATAGGTCTCCCATTGGCCCCTGAAGCTCTCTATCTCCCTGCTCCACCAGACTTCCCCTCCTCCTGCTCAGTGACCTACCTGCTCACACATGCTCCCAGGCCAGCTCTGGGGAGGAGGCAGTCTGGGTATGTGTGCAGAATCGCACTCTGGTGAGTGGCAAGGCTCGCCTCCGCCAAGAACCAGACTGCAGACAAGTTTTAGCAGCGCAGCAATTGTCAAATAGGAAAAGGCAAAGGAGGAGGGCATAGGAAACTGAGGTGGATGCTTGAGGGGGGGCAGGGGGGGGACTGTTACCATGGTGACGCTGGGACGACAGGGGCATTATTTGATGGTTGCCTTTGAATTCTTTCAGTGCCAGCTACACTACCAGCTTAGCTACCCCTTCCTTGTCCCACCGGATGCCTCTGGAGTCACCCAGCATCTTCAGCTGCCTGGCTGCCCCAGCTCAGAACTCAAACCCACAGGCAACTCTAGTTTTCCCAATTGCTGCCTTTATACCCTCCTTCCTGCCCTGCCCTCCTGTGCCTCATTACTCTACACCCCAGAGCTCCCTGCCCACATCCCGGGGGCACTGACCATGGTTGCAGTAGGGCCCATCGAAAGCCGTGAGGTCGCAGTCGCAGGTGTAGTAACTGTAGCGCTCCACACAGCGGCCTCCGTGGAAACAGGGGAAGCGGGGGTGGACACAGTGGCCCGTGCAGTTGGGCGAAGTACCCTCAGAGGCGTTGGCACGGCCCTCCAGGTTCAGAGTCACTCCGTTCAGACGCATGGCCCTTAAGCAACCCACGAAGGGGCGTCTCTTAAGCTCTGCAGATCCTGGGAAGGTTGAGCAGGTTCAGAAAAGGTGGAGAGCCAGAGATGAGGCTAAGTATTGGGTTGGGGGAGGGAGCCAAGTGGGCTTGGAGAATGGAAAAGATACCAGGGACTGGAGAGGGGGTGGGCCTTCGGCTCACTCTGAAGTAGAGGGGATTGGGGCCTAAGGGGTGGGGGGCGCTTGGAAACAAGGAGAGCAGCCTTGAGAGGGTGGGAAGGGGATGGAGCGGCAGACCTGCCTCTGGGTCGCAGCTCACCGACATAGAGGGGCTGGTCATACTCCAGCCAGATGTAGGTTTGCAGGGGCATCGGCCTCAGCACCCAGGGCCGGTGGTCCACACGCAGACGGGCCTGCTTCACGTTGATTTCAGCCCGGACCAGGTGCCACTCGTCATCATTAAATTCAAAGTCATCTGAGTGCACT